AGCGTCGTTCACAGCTTTCCAGAGCTCCCTGCATTAAAAAAAAAAAAACTCAATAAAAAAAATCAACTTGCTAGATAAGTAATTGGAACTTTTATGTTTAACTAATCAAAGTTTTTTTTTTTTTTTGGTTTGATTTTGGTTTTGGTTTTCTAAGTCAGGGTTTCTCTGTGTAGTCCTGGCTGCCTTAGAACTTGCTCTGCAGACCTGGCTGGTCTCCAATTTAGGGATCCTCCTGCCTCTGCCTCCTGAGTGCTAGGATTAAAGGCGTGCACCACCACACCAGTCTATGCTCATTCTATATGAATGAAAAATTCCCCTTCCCAAAACTTGGCAGGAAACGGTCAGGCCCTCACATTCTGACCAGCCCCATGTGTGGTGCAGGTGAGCTCTACTGAGCTCAGTTCTCTGTTCTCCACGGTCCTCTGTATTCTGTTATCAAGGCTCTTGTGTTTGCTGCCAGCCCTCTGTGGGCTTTCCTTCCCAGTCCAGGGCTTTTGAGAAGGTGTGTTTATTTATTTGGGCGCTTACTCTCCCTTGCTACCTTCCCTCCATGTTTCCTGGGACTCTCCAGGTCGCCCTGGCTGCCAGGCCTTTCTGAGAAGTTGCTTCTAGGGGGAAAAGTGGGATTTGAAAAAAGAAGACTAGATCATGTTTAAATCATTTGGCAGATTGCTTTCTCAGTAGCCTGAAGAGAAACAGAAACTCCTGCACGAGGAGAGTTTCTATTCCCTTGAATCCAGCCGCCTGGCTCCCAGCCGGGCCATGTCCGCCATGCTGAGGAGCAGAGGTGGGAAGTCAGGTTTCAGGACAGGTATTTCGGGGATGTGTCGATACAGGTCTGCAAATGCTTCTTGAGTCAGGGTAATGGGACATGCGACTGTGGGTTTTAGGATCAGGAAACTTAATGGCATTTTAAGGTCAAAAAAGGGACAAGGAATGAAGCACGCACGACTAGACTTGGAGTCTCAAGCTTATGTAACAGGAAGCCTTCGTTGGGCAGTGGTGGGTCTGGAGCTCTGTAGAGAGCACAGTAGTTGACTGTATCAGTAGACAGGTTGTCTACCTCTTGTGGGGCTCGCCTTTCTCCCTAATGGCCTACTAACAACAGGTAACTTGCCTACTGGTATTAGGTTGAATGGTGTAGCCTAGGAACCTTACTCTTTTTTTGTTCAAAGAGTGCTGAGCTGGAAGCTCTGCCAAGAGCAAGCTGGGTACATTAAATCAAAAGCGATGAAGTTTCAGGATCCCAGAATTCAGGATTCATTCATCTATGTAGGTCCGTCTCCTCTCCCAATGGTTATGTTGGTTATGTCCTCTCTCTTTCTCTCTCTTTCTAATTCTGATAATAGTTCATAATCTGGAACCTTATTTCTTTTATTTCTATCACGGAAATAACATGATTTGTGCTTCTAACCTCCTTGGGTACATGAGAGTGTTGGACAAGGAGAATGAGCAGAAACTGGGAGGGCCGAGGCCGAGGCCGAGGCTGATTGTGTTGGCATCAAGGGCAGCAGGCATATTGGGGAAGGGAGTGTGGGGAATTGCTCTATGTGTGACCAAGCAACAGCTATTTTTCATCAGTTTAACTCATCGTCCTTCCAATGTTAGAGTGCTTGTACTTCTGAATTAAGTACCAACACCTTGTAGCTCAGGATTCATAAGCCTGAGACTCTCTGGGTTTATTTATATGACATGAGTTGGAGGTAGGAGACAGACTGACTGCCCTCGGGGTGTGTAGAAAAGGTGGCCACTGGCTGCTGGATTTGTTCCAGGCACATAGAAGATTGGCCCTGTGCTCCTGTCTACCAGAGGGTCCATCACCTGACCTGATGATAGGACCAGAGAGGCTCCTTGGGGTATACTGCTTGCTGTACAAGTATCATTCAGAACTTTGGCCCTGGACACAAGGGGGATGAAGGGGTAGGTGAATATGGCACTGTGTTTCTGATGCCCTGCCCACAAGGTTTTCTGACCATAGTCAAGAAGACACCAGTCTCTGCTTCTTAAGGGAAGGGAACAGCACATCATGCAGAAGGCCTGGGATTTACAAACAGAACCTAGATTCAGTCCCTGTCTTAACACTTCCCTGAGGTTGTCCTGTGCACACCCCTCATGTTCTTAGCCCAGTTTTCTCTCCAACAAAGTGTGGAGCTGGTGTGCTGATGGCTGGATGTGTGAGTAAATGTTTGTGGACTCTAAAGTGCTTCCGAGGCTCTAGAGGTCAGTGGTATTGCTGCTTGATTACTCTCTCCAGATCAGTTGTTTCCCCACCAGATTGCAAATGGGACCAACCCAGGGTTTATACTCTCAAGCTTCCTGGAGTTGACTGTGAAAAAGCTAGGTAAAATAAGGCCCAGCCCTTGAATGTGAGGCAAGGCTGTCTGAAACAGGTGTTGCAGGGGGCTGTTCCCATCCCAACTGGAAAGTGCTTTTTTGGGAGGCCCAGGCTGCTGCCTGCCAGATGAGGTCATAGGATTCTGTGGGCTGGCCCAAGAATAGGACTGGGAATTGAGAGGCCATCTGTGCTGGGATGAGTGAAGGTTTGGTAGGGGCGGTTCTCTGTGGCTGGGTCTGTCAACAAGCAGCCTGGTCTGATGGCTTGTTAGGACTCGGGAGGCCACTCTAGCTCCCGGTGCTAAGGTTACATCAGGCACCAGGACAGAGTAAGGAAAGTCTCGGGCTTTTAGATATTGTCTTCCTTACCTGTCTTCCTAAACTGTGTGCTGTGCAGATTTAGATCCGCTAATCTCCAGAGAGACTCAGTGCTCATTTAGGGGGTGAAAGCTAACAGCTTAACATCACTAAGCTGAGATGATCTATTGGCTGGGAGAGCAAAAGTCTCTTCCCTGCCTGTGTTAAGAGCTTTTGAAAAGGGCCCATACCCTCTGATTTAGCAATTTTAGTTTGGAGGCTTCAACTCAAGGAAATATTTTGAATTGGGGTGAGGGGGTATCTATACTCAAAGTTGCTGATTATGATGGGAGAGACCCCATAAAATATCCAGCATTAGCAGGGTATATGGGTCTAAACAGAAGCCCCATGGGGTCGGGGAGTAGGGATGCTTTTGTTCCCCTGCTCCCTTGTATGCACAGCAATGTCTCACACATAGGCAATGTAATTTGAAGGTGTGAAAAATATTATGTTCATATGTCAGACTCAGTAATTCAAATGAAGGCACCGGAATGAAAGTGTTTCTCCTGCATGAGTTACATATAGAAAAACAAAAACAAAAAACAAAACCACAGTGGAACCTTTACTTTGTATGTTGACTTGAAGATTTTTTTTTTGTTTCTTTGTTTTTGTTTTTCGAGACAGGGTTTCTCTGTAGCTTTGGTTCCTGTCCTGGAACTAGCTCTTGTAGACCAAGCTGGCCTCGAACTCCCAGAGATCCGCCTGCCTCTGCCTCCCGAGTGCTGGGATTAAAGGCGTGCGCCACCACTGCCCGGGGAAGATTAGAAAGTTAACATCAAATATAAAAACCGAAAAAAAGCAGCATTTTTAAAAAGACTTTTAATTTTATGTATATGAGTGCTCTATCTGCATGTATACCTTTATGCCAGAAGAGAGCATCAGATCCCACTATAGATGGTTGTGAGCACCATGTGGTTGCTGGGAATTGAACTCAGGCCCTCTGGAAGAGCAGTCAGTGTTCTTAACTGCTGAGCCATCTCTCCAGCCACAACATATTTTTATATGTAGAGAAGACTGCCAACTTGGGCTTAGTAGGTAAGGGACCTGAGTTCAGTGAGAGAACAAACTCCTGAAAGTTGCCCTTTGACCTCTGCTTGTGTGCCCTGATACATGTGCTCCCACCTATAAACAAACAAATGCAGTAACAATTTTTTTAAAAATTTATTATTTTTTTTTAAATAGAAGGCAAAAAATAAACCCCAAACTGCCTTGGAGTTTTCCACACATATAATGATGCCACAGGTGCTTTTTGTTAGTTTGTTTCTAGATTTTATAAAAATCTAAAAGCAACTATGATTTTGTGCTTGGGAAATTCTTTTTCAATCCATCACATTCCCTTTTGAGAAAGGAGATTCATTTATTTGCTAATTTGCGAAACAAACCAGCAGCCTTCAGAGCCGACTCTGCATCTTTTGAAACTCCAGGCAGTCTTTGTCAACACACAGAACACCTACACTTGGGCGAGTCTGTCATCTTGGCATGGAAGCAGCCCCTCCTGACTTCCGAAGGGTGGTAGAAGGCTTGGGTGTTGGAACCGAGCAGGTCATGTTGCAGAGACATGCCCATACATTTATTTTCCCTTCAGTGAACTGAAGACATTTGGTAGCAGTGAGGAGAATTTTAAGAAGATAGGATTTGCTGGCTGGGTGGTTAATTCTTAGGATTCTTTCCCTGACATACAGTTTGGGGATGTTGAGGGTGCCGCCTATTTTCCTTCATTCTTGTATCAGCTTGCTATCTTATAGAAGGTTTTTTTTTTTTTCTTTTTAGTGTTTCAGTGTTTTGGAACTTTGTGAAATGTGTCTTTAAGATATTGTGTATTCCTGGGCATGGTGACACATACCTGTAATTCCACTTTGTGCAAAACAGATAGGAGGGTTTTCTAAAGTTTGAGGCCAGCCTAGTCTACACAAAAATTCCAGGGCAGTCAAAGATATGTAGCTAGACCTGAAAAGTTTTTGTGGCCCAATAAACCTCTCTGCCGACCCAATAACCCAAATCAGACCAAATCAACCGAATTAGAAAAAGCCCAGGTTTAATGGATACCAACGCTCCCGGGTGGCCTTCCAGCTCTGGGTTGATTCTTCCGTCCAAACAGACCCTGTTTCAAAAAACAAAACTAGTTGGACACTTAGGAGTCAGAGACAGGGGACCTGTATGTGTTTGAGGGCAGCCTGGGCTAATGTATACTGAGTTCCAGACCAGCCGTGTTCCTCCTTCCCAGAGGAATGTTTGGTGACCTGGGTCTTTAGCATATCATCTCTTGGTGCCCCTTAATCATGTGACTTCTTATCTTTCTGTCTCTCTAGCCACAACCAGCAGACCACAACCTTCAGGCATCCTATGACTGGACAGTTTTCTCCAGAAAACAGTGAATTTATTCTTCAGGAGGAGTAAGTATTTCTTTATGTTCTTACTCAGACAGAGTAAGTTGAGAGCTTGGAGACAGTTCATGTTTTGAGTTCATCAAAACACAACCTGCTAGGCGGTTTCTGCTGCTTTGGTTTGCGTGTTTGTCTTGTGGTGGGGTAGAGGGCCTTGGAGTGAATTGAGAGGAGTTTTGTTTTTCAGTCTCCACATGCCTGGTGGAGAGATGCTACAGGATGTGGGAGTGCTGTCACAGCCTCTTAAAATCCCCTTTCTGCTGAGACATCCAGCTTGCACACAAGCTGCCCTCACCTGGGGGGAAGGTGGTCAGAGGTGAGATCGGGTGCCAAGGCTACCTGCAGGAATTCCCATGTTTTTGTTCCTGAGCAAGGATTTGGACAGAGATAGCTGATAGTAACAGAAAAGTTTACTAAGGGAGCACAGCTTCTCCAAGTGTGGAAACAGGCCAGAGCTGGAAAAAGATCAGACTTAATGACAGAAGCTATACAGAGGGTTGTCTATTTCAGTATGGTGGGCTTTGGGCCGAAGCATAGCTCACATTTTCCTTTACACGCCCTTTTACATGTCAGCCTCGGTGGAGAGGGTTCCCAGCCTTTCTTTATATGCTTATCTGTCCTACTCTCCTGCTACTGTTGTACAGAAACAAAACCGCTAAGGCCATCAGCAGAAATCCAAAGGTGGGGTCTAGAGGAGAGGCAGTGCTATTCAGGGAGAAAACCCTCGTCATTAGCTGGACTCACTGTGCTGTCTGAGTGGGCTGCCGCGCCTGTTGCGTGGAGATTCTAACCTAACCTTAGCCTTGCTTCAGAGACACCGAGCTTCCTCTGCTGCCTCTTCTTCAGGAACCCGCCCCCAGCATTGGTATAGGGCCTCATTGCTCATGATCGGATTATCTGTGCCACTCTTCTGAAGCAGCTTCCTGATGCTCACTGAATTTCTTCAGTTGTCAGCGGCTGTCTGGCCCTTTGTGGTTGTGCTAGTTTTACTTCCGTTGCTGTGATAAAATATCCTGACAAAAAGCAACTTAGTGGGGAAGGGGTTTATTTCAGCTTACAATTCTGTCATTATGAAATTATGGGGCATGAAAACAAATCACAAGACACACAACGGAACCTACTTTAAGAGTTTATTAAGACCTTTAATCTCAGCACTTGGGAGGCAGAGGCAGGCAGATCTCTCTGAGTTCGAGGCCAGCCTGGTCTACAAGAGCTAGACAGGCTCCAAAGCTACAGAGAAACCCTGTCTCAGGGGGCGGGGGCGGGTAATTTATTAAGAGGAGGAGAGAAGAAGGTGCTCAGGCCTGTCGGATATTTGGTGCGGGAAGAGAGCATGTAACGAGTGTGTCCAGCTTTCAAAGACTGTCTAGTGCATGCACGTACACATGCCCGCACGCCCGCAGGGGTTTATGTAGCCTTCTTCTGCATAGATCACGCGTAGGACTTGAGGGCCCTGGGTGGCTATGTAATTTGCCAGAAGGATTCATGGCACATCCACAGCTGTGGAACCCGAAGTGTCAGCTCTTACCTTGGGTGATAGAAATGTTGCGTGGGGAAGTCAAATCAGACAGCTAGTCACAGCACATCTAGTCAAGAGCAGAGATAATAATGTGTGCATGATCGCTTGCTTGCTTGTGCTCAGCTTGATTTCTCCACCCTTAAAACGCTTCAGGACCTCCTGCCTAGAGGATGGTGCTGCCCACAGTGGGCTGGGTCTTCTTAGATCAGTTAACTTAATTAAGACAGTCCCTAATAGACATGCCCATAGGCTAACCCAATGTAGACCAACGCCTCATCTAGACACTTCCTTGCAGGTGGTTCTCAAATTGTGTCAAGTTGACAATTAGAGCTATTCATCACAGTAGCTATCAGGGTCTACCCACACCCAAGGCCCAGGAATGTGATTCCATGTCTGAGCCTCGAGCACAGGCACATACTTTCTTCTCCTCCGTGCGGGTGCCTCTACAGCTTTGGGGAAGAGAGAAGCATTCCTGAGCAGTGACGGCAGCTGACTGACAGTGAGCTGTGTACACCAGTCCCCAGACTCTGCAAAGCATTTTATGTGGAGGTGGGGCCAGGCTTGAGAGAGCGCACTTGCTTTGGAAGTTCAGAAGCCCGCTCTTGTGCGGGCTCCCTTGGGGTCCTCACCAAGGGGACCTTTACTTGGAATGCCTTTCCCTGCGCTCAGTCGGTTTCAACTGTCCTCCCATTCATTTGCGTATTTGGAGAGAAAACACGGTTGGAATGGCTGGTGATGTGAGCGGTGTCTGAAGACAGCTCAGAGAGGCCTGAACCTGCTGAAGGTAGGCGGTCTCTTACTGAACTTTGGCCCCTTTGCCAAAGAGACTTTATTTTATGGGTTTCAGGGCAAAGCTCTCCTGAAAGCTGCTGCAGATTGTGGGTTTAGGTGGAAATCTCTCGCTGCTAGGCGATTCTGTCTGCTGTTCTTCCTGCAGCTACGTGTTGGTAAAAGCTGACAGCCAGAGGTAAGGGCGAGTGAGCATGGGAGAAGGCTCTCCAGCTCCAGGAGGAGGCCAGCCCGTGCTCACCCTCGTGGTTCTGGGCTGTGGGAGTCATCTGTGGCCATCAGTGACTGGTAGAACCAGCACCTTGTCTCCAGACACTGATAGTCTTGGGCTAGCTTTGCCTGTTGCATTTGGTTGCCATGGCAGCAGAAAAGATGAGGAGAAATGCAAACACCTGGCAAGCAGATGCAGGAACTTGACTGGTTTTCCTCTCCGGATTTTCAGTCAGCATTTGTGACAGTCACAGGTAAGGGGAGACACGGGAATGGGGCCCTTAGTTCACTCAGGGACAAGTGGCAGTTTTTGTGTGGATGTTTCGAAGGGCATTGTCAGTTGGGAATGCAGTCCTTGCCACATGACACCCACATCTTCGGCTCTTTTCTGCTGGCCAAATATGCAGTCGTGGTGGCTTTGTATGTGGAAGGGAAGCTGTTGCTGTAAAACAGGAGCCTTGTTTCTTCCTGTGGCTTCTCTAGTCCTTTTCCTTCCCCACAACCTGGGAATTGCTCCGGTTGCCATTTGACAATTGCTGTAGTCTGATGAGAAGGGCAACTGCTTGGTAGATCAGGCAGGAGGAGCAGGCAGGCTGGAAGGGGAGAGATCAGAATGGGAGAGTCTCCGAGGTCCGTATCTCCCTCTCCTAATGCAGTCATGGAGTCTGAAGCAGGAAGAGTCTAGCCCAAGGCAGTCCAGCTTGGGGACTCTGATGCCAAATTCAGGACAATGCTCTGATTGAGGGGTGGGGGCACAACTGTCTGGGCTGTCTTCATGCCAGGTGAGGAGGTGCTGTTTGGGCTCTTTCCCAGCCTGTGTTTAAGGAATTGAGGGGGACGGGGAAAGTGCATAGTGAACTGTGCTGGGGTGAGGTTGCAGCTACTCAACTTCACCCGTGAAATCCCTTGTCAGACAGCCTCCCCCGGGTTGCTGGAAGTTGATTGTAAGCGTTGGCAGCCTGTCTGTGTCTCTTTATCTGGGAAGAGGGTTATGAAGGTGTGTCAGCCTGCTTCGGACAACAGCTAATTTTCCCTTCTCCCTCCCTCCTTCTCTCTCTCCCTCCCTCTCTTCCTTCCTTCTCTGTCATTTTCACTGTAGATTGTGCTCCTTAAATGAGTGCTTGTGTTTGCAAGTGTGCCCACTCTTGTACGCAGTCCTCCATCCACAGCCCTCTCCCAGCTGAGTTCTCTGGTCTTTGGAATCCTTGAGGACAGTGCCTGAAGTTGGGGTTCCTTTTATCTCAGAATTCATGGGATAACATTAAATGAGTTGTTTTGTTTTGTTTCAGTGCCAGGGAATCAAATTGAGGGTCTTGCTAACACTAGACAAGTACACTATCACCCAGCCAGATCCCCAGCCCAATAAGGTCTTTTTAATAATAGAGTTCTGTTTCCCCGTAAGTCAGACGACTTTCAGCCATTGCCTTGACCACTAGGAGGGAAGCCTGCCATAGTTTCTATTTTTTGACTAAAAAAAAAGTCACAGGTAAGGTGTTGCGAAGAAACCATTGTGGTCTCAGCTATTCGGTTGGCATCTTGAGCTTTCCGGAGAGAAGGGACTTGGTAGTAAAAATAAACTGTACCTGAGATTTAGGTTCTAGGGTCTCCAGTGGTGACGCAGGAACGGTGCAGATCTTACAGTGCCCCTAGTTTTCGGAAAGTCGTCTTAATGCACAAGCTGCCTGTGGAGAGAAGTTTTCACTCCATTTAAAATGGAAACTGAGGCCCAAAGAGCTGATGTGTGGGAGAGTGAAAACATATCAGAGCCCAGCTGAAATCTTGCCGTCTCTGCTCTTGCTCTTTCCCTACCCCAGATTCCCTGGTTTGAGGATTATCCTTTGAGCTGTGATAGCCCAGATCTATATCTCACAGATCTTGGGGCTTGGCACTTGGAATTGGGATCTCTTTATGGCAGACCCCACCCAGTTCATTGTTTTTAACTTAATTTAAATTTTTACAGTTCTAAGGATTGAACCTAGGTTTTCATGAGTACTAGGCAAGCACTCTACCCCTGAGCTACAGTCAAGTTCTTCTTTTACTTTTTTTGTTCTGTTTTGGTTTAGTTTTTCTGAAACAGGGTTTCTCTGTAGCTTTAGGGTTTGTCCTGGAACTCGTTTTGTAGACCAGGTTAGTCTCAGACTCACAGAGATCCCACCTTCCTCTGCTTCTCCAGTGCTGGGATTAAAGGCTGCGCCACCACCGCCCAGCATACTTGCTGTACTTCGTGCATCTGTCCTGGGAGCTTGGCTGACCTGTCTGTAGTGACCTGCAGACAGAAGGGTCCTGCTGTGTTGACACTCAAGTGCCCAGAGCAAATGGCTTCCGCATTTATAAAGGTTCTGGCTCTGCCTATCAGGTTATGAGCACTTTGTCTTGAGGCAGAGAAAGTCACTTCTTGGCTACGAGCGCTTAGAATCCAACCCTTTCCCAATGGGACTTCTCCCGGCTGATTTCGTCTACTCTTCATTTCTTTTGTTTGGTTCTGACAGGAGGCAGCTGAGCTCAAAGTTTAGCTCACTGTTTTGAACTTCAGCCCACACCCCTGCAGCAAAATAATCTGCATTCATGTAGCTTAAGTGAAGGAAAGGGAGGTCTTTGTTTCAGCCATCCCACTGTCCTGGGAATCCAGACAGCACAGAAACCCAACAAGCAGGCTTACAGTGAATAGATCTTATTTAAGGACACTAAGAGTCTGAGCATGCAGGTTCTGTGGTCTCCTCTGTAGGATGCCGTGTGCCTGAGGGCATGCTGATGGGAACTGTTTGTCTTCTGGGGACATTCTTGGGTGAAACTTGTTAGCAGAGTACATCCAGGCTGAGGACTTGAAGACAGATCAGTATGTCTGTCCAGCCACATTCTTCAGTGGGGAACTTTCCTGTCCAGTAGCCTCGCTGAAGCAAATACACCAGATCTCCCTCTGTTGAATGATGCCCCGTTCACTCATTCTGGGTCCCCTGGCTTATCTGTTCAGGAAGCTTCGTAAACACATCCTGGGTGCTCCCGTGCTTAAATCAACGGGCTAAACTGCTATGGGAGCTTTCGTGAGAGTCAGCTTTTCATCCCACTGAGGAAATTGTTTTGATACTTTCTCATGTCTATTATATTCTCATGATATAAAATGGATTGCTAGTTGTGATTCTAGTAAATAACTTGTGGTCATTTCCAAGGTTATCTTTCAGTGTGTCCCGTGGTGAGGGGATGGCCTTGTCTTGGATGGCTAGACTGCATGTGTCTGTCTTCATTTTTTCAGAGTGCCGGGTCAGGCTGCATATAACACTGAAGACTGTTGGTTGAATGGGGATCCTTCTTGCAGCGTTAGTAGACAACACAGTCACCTTCCTAGGGCAGATTTGGGGTTTTCCTTTCCTCCCCTGCCTCCCACTGCTTCTTAGATGTCAGTGGTGTGGCCATAACCAGTCTTACTCCAAACAAACCTCTCTTTATCTGGTTCCTCCAGCAGGAGCTCTGTCCTCTTTTTACCCAAACCTGTGGCCAAGTTTTGTCTTTCTCCTCATGCTGTTGGCTGAGAAAACTCCCAGCCAGCTAGTACCCATCGCCAGGAGTAAAGTTATGATGGCCAGACTAAGGCAAAGAAATGGCTAAGCTCTCACTCATTCTGAGTTTCCTGGACCAGCCACAGATCCAGATAGGTAGGTCTCTGTGAGTTCGAGGACAGCCAGGGCAATTACACAGAGAAACCCTGTCTCACCACCCCCCAAAATAAGTGATGAAAAAAAATGTTTATATTAAAGTGTGTGTATATGTTTGCACGCATATGCGCATGCATGTTCTTGATTTCTGTTTTGTTTTGCTTTGCTTTGTTTAAGACAGGGTTTCACTATGTGATTCTGGCTGTTCTGGAACTCACTGTGTAGACCCTGTTGGCCTTGAACTCCCAAAGATCCGCCCGCCTCTGCTTCCTGAGTGCTGGGATTAAAGTTATGTGTTACTGTACCTTGCAAGCTAAAATAGTTTAAAACCTCAGGTATAAATAAGATCATGAACACATCACAATTACAGAGAAAAACAAAAAAACTAACAAACACAAAACAGCACCACCAAAATCAAACCAGGTATAACAGAAAGGACAAACGTAAATAAATGTTAAAATGCTTTCATTTTGGGTGGCTGGACTATGGAGGATCCCCCTCCTCACTTCACCATTTAACTTTTTTTGTATTTTCTTAAATATCCTATAATGTTTCTATTAGTATCTCAAAGGAAATCCAATTGAAGTTGGTAAAGTCAAAACTAAGCCTTTTGTGCGATTGTCTCTTAGGTCTGGAATTTGTGTGTGTATGTCTATCTGTGTGTCTGTGTAGGTGAGAGGACAGCTGGTAGGAATTGGTTCTCTCTTTTACCATGGAGGTCCCAGGTATTGAACTCAGGTCCTCAGACTTGGAGGCAAGCACCTTTATCATCTCTCATCCACCCATTGTGTCTTAGATTTCAGTGGGGGGAAAAAGTTGCCTAACAGGCAACCCAAGAGTTCTCCTTCCTTGACCCCCCCTCTGGAAAGCTGGGCAGGACCAGGTCCTGGGAAGATGGCTGGTTGTCCTGCTGAGAGGCAGAGATATGGCACAGCGGCCTCACAGAGCCTCTTCCCACCCCCAAACTGTGAATTTGCTGCTGCAGCCTCTGCCAAGGGAGAGGCCCAGCCTGGTGACATTTCCCTGGCTGAGCAGGGAGCAGTAACAACTTTTTTTGGCTGTGATGGAAGCTGTGGGCAGGGATTCTGGATGAGTCTAGCTGATACGGAGTCGGCCGGCTTTCTGCCTGGTGGGTAGTGCGTTTGCCACTGCTGAGCATCTCATGGGGCTGGTGCCTGCCTGCTGCAGGGGAAGCGTAGTGGCCACACAACTTCTGCAGAGAAGTCGCCTCCTGGGGCAGTGCTGGTGTTGAGATCAGAGCGCTACAAGGATCTGTGTCTTTTGAGCAGTGGTGGTGCCTGAAGGGAGCATGGTATCTCTAGGTGAAGACTAGAATTTTTCCATCACGCCCTGTAAAATCAAGTGATGCGGGACATTCTGAGCTCCTTTCTCTCAGCTTCGTCTGGCCTGGATCTTCCAGCTCTGTCTTTTCAGGGTCCTGGCTAAGTCCTCCGAAGTAATTTTTCTCAACTCCTGAAGCAGGAAGCCTCAACAACATTATATGTAGACCTGCTGGATCCTGCTGCCTATTGGAGCAGCAGACAAAATGCAGTCAAGGAATGCTGTGCTTTCTGCTCAGGGACAGCCTACAGCTGGCAGGGTCTTGTCGTCATGCATCATGCTGTTCAAGGATAGGTATTGAGCTTGGGTGAAAGCTTTGACACTTGCGTGTGGAAAAGACTGACACAGATATGGGCTCTTCAGAAAGCAGGTGAGAAGGATGTTCTTCCACATCTCTTTAGAGTAGTGCTCCGAGCTCTGAGCCACCTGACCTCTCAGCAGGAAGTCCATGTGGCTGGGATGCTGATGGGGAAGCACCAGGGTTCCCTGCTGTGACCTTACAGATACTTCATGACTTCCTGCTATCCAGGCATGGCACAGGGGGTTGATATCTCCAGTGGCTCTATTTTGGGGCAAATGGAGTGTTCCCAGAATAGGACTCTTTGTTGAGTAGGTCTATTTTGGGCGGCAAGCCCCACTGGCGTTTATGTAAGCATTCTCTGTGTATATCTGGGGGTGTGGATGTGTGCGCAAGTGATTTCTTGTTGCTAATTATAAACAGCTTCTTTTGGGAGTTGGGGAAGTGGAGGTGTGTGTGTGTGTGTGTGTGTGTGTATGTATAACAGTATGATGACTCCCTCCTTCTGTGAAGAGTATTGTGCGCCTTGAGCAGTCGCCAGGACACCCTAGTAAGAGAATGAGTGTGGGTACGTTAGGATCACAGACAGGGAGCACGGTGTGCACCCTTTTCTGAAATGTCTGGCTGTGGTGGTGTGTCCATCTGCCATCTTCGTGGTCCTCTGAAGGACAGGGACAGGCGAATTTTGTAACCTCTGTCTACAATCTGGGATCAGACGACCTCCAAAAACTGGGACCTGAGTTGTTCTGATGCCAAGCAACCAGTTCCAGCCTAGGACAGGTCATAGACTGGGTTTTCCACTCTGCAGCTGGGCACATACTCACAGGATTCCCCTACACCTTCCTGCAGGCCACACCCACATATGTCGAAGCAAGAGAGAAACCAAAGACCGTCCAGCATGGTCAGTGAGACATCCACGGCTGGGACCACATCCACCCTGGAAGCCAAGCCTGGACCCAAGGTGAGCCCCCAGTCACCGGTTCTTCATGTCCCTTCTGTATTTTTCCAAGCCCATTTGTAACCAGAAGTCCATTTGATTATACACAGTTTTGTGGGGTTCACCCATTAGAAATGCTCCCCCAAAATTACAGATCAGGAGATAGAGGCCTTGTCCAGGGAAACAGGTGGTTGCTGAGTGACCAGGACTGGCATCTAGTTCCTTGAATGCTTTCTTCACTGTCCTGGCGTGTGCTCAGAAAGCAGCACCTCTGTTTACGTGTATGTGATGTTAGATCCTGGCATGTTTCAGTGACAGACAGGCTCGAAGAGCAAAATGCCCAGATGTTTTTGTTCAAAATGTAGGATCACTGACTTAGCCAGGTGAACCAGATTGGGGGACCAAGTACTGGATACTGACAAAGTCAGGGACTGAAAGTGACTTTGTTTCGGAATGCCATGGCAGCAGCTCTTAAGTTAACTCCCTTAACTCACATCACTCTGTGTGAACCATGAGGCGTTTGCTGTGTCTGGGTCGTGCTGTTTGACTGGGAGGGATGCTGTGACCAAGGGCACACAGTGACAACAGGGTGCAAACAGGCCTCCTGTCACACAACATGTGTGTGCCCCGTTCAGTCCCTGCTGCTAGAACAGAGTCTGCTTTTCCTAGATCCTCAAGTCCAGCAGCAAAGTGCACAGCTTTGGGAAGAGAGACCAGGCCATTCGGAGGAACCTCAATGTCCCGGTGGTGGTGAGGGGCTGGCTGCACAAGCAGGTGAGGAGGCTGAGGTGGGAGTGAGGTGGAAGAGTGGATCTTGCTTGCTTCCCTCTCCTCCAGCCTTGGGAGGCTGTGAATAGCTGGAGAAGCTTCTTGTTCCAGAGTTTGTTTGGGGCAGGTGGGTTCTGCCCACTGTGCATGGTGACCTGTTAATTGTTTGTAAGTGAGCTGTTTGCCCAGGGCTGCAGCTTCCCTCCCCAAAACCACTTCACCACTTTGGCCCGGTGCTCTTGGTGACCAGGGGCTGGTCAGATGCAGTGTGGGGTGATGGAGATGAGGGAGAGGGCTGCGTATTGAAGCCCAGGGCTACAGTGTGAATGGATGAGTCGGCCAGAACCCAGCTCCATGTTCACCCTTTGTCAGCACCTGCTTTCCTAGTGACGGTGTCTTTGTTATTGCAAATGCTGTCTTTTCCTTGCCTGAAATGTTTTTTGGTTTTTCGAGGCAGAGTTTCTCTGTGTAGCTTTGGAGCCTGTCCTGGAATTCTCTCTGTAGACCAAGTTGGTCTCAAACTCACATAGATCCTCTGCCTCCTGAGTGTTGGGATTAAAGGCGTGCGCCACCATCGCCCGGCCCTTGTCTAGGATGTATGGCTAGCTCCCTAGCACTTGGAAACCCAAATCTGCTAGATTCATCACTTGCTTCCTGCCCCAACCGCTCTCCAGCCACTTTCCCTGGATCTTAGTAATGAGGAACCATCATTCCACTCTCAGGTATGCAGGGAAGAGACCTCAACACCATCATCTACTGTCTCATGAGGCTGTCCTTCAGCTTCCTGACCCATAGCCCTCATTGCTTTGTCTCTGATCTTTCAGAACTATGTCTCGTTGGCCTCTTCCTTTTCTCCTTGTCATTTCTTCATCCATTTTCTCCCCTTGTCTGTGCCATGGTTTGTGGGGCTCACACAACATGTGTGAAGAAGTAAATAAGATTTCCTCAGGAACTTGTCATCTGCAGAGGGAAACAAGGCATTTTTCACATCACACTGTCACCCATCCCTAATCTGTCACCTACTAACATCTACAAAAGCCAATCAGACTCCAGGAGCAATGATGCCCATTTGAGGATAGCATTTGTGAGAAGGACCTTGCACTGTACACTGTATAGGAGGGGTTCCAGAGCCCCCTTCCCATGGAAGCGGAGTCCCAAATCTCTTTATCTGCTCCTGGTCCTATGTCTGCTTTCATAGCTCTGGTCTTTCCTCTTTTCTTACATGGCTGTCTTCATCTGAGTAATTACCCTATCTGACATGCCCTGTTAAAGAAAGGACATTGGTTGGAAATGTGGCAGGAGAGAGAAAGGACTGTAAATAATTCTTCCCACCTCCCACCCCTTTTGCTGTTCTGCTTCCATAATGGTCTGTTTAGAGCATTGCATACTCACAGCAGAAGCAGAGCTGTGCTCACGCAGCCCAGGAAGCTTCCCCCAGAAAGTGGCATTTGAACCATGTATGGAGGATGGATAAAGGCCTTCCAGTAAAAAGAAGGAAAATGCTGTCTAGACTGTAGAAATCATTTCACCAGTCTGCAGAACTGACCATGGAGGACAGCATCAAGTTAATTTGGTTTTGGCGCTTTAGTGTGTGTTGTGGGGTGGGAGTGCATAGCAGACAAGTCCCATGTCGTATTTAGGTTGGAAACTGTCCTTTGTTTTGTTTTATTTGTTTGTTTTTCAGGACAGGGTTTCTCTATGTAACAGTCCTGACTGTCCTAGAACTCTTTCTAGACCAGGCTGGCCTCAAAACTCACAGAAATCCACCTTCCTCTGCCTCCCAAGTGCTGGGATTAAAGGCATGCACCACCACCGCCAGGCTGTTCTTCTGTTTTAATTCAAGCCTGTCAAAACTTCTGACTAGGAAAAGACTTTATTTTTATGTGTATGAATATTTTGTTTACGTGTGTATGTGTTCCATGCTCATGCTTGGAGACCATGGAAGCCAGGAAAGGGCATCTCATCCCTCGAAACTGGAGCGGAGACAGTTGTGAGCTGTCGCGTGGTTCTAAGAACTGAACTCAGGTTCCTGCAAGAGCAGCAGCAAGTGCTCTTAACCACTAAGCTTTCTCTCCAGCTTCAAGGAGAGATCCCCTCCCCCCCCTTTGGTTTTTTGAGACAAGATTCACTGTGTAACTGCCCTGGCTGTCCTGGAATTCACTCTGTCGACAAGGCTAGCCTCGGGCTCACCACGATCCCCCTGCCACTGCCTGCAGAGTGCTGGAATTAAAGGTGTGTGTCACTGCCGCCTGGCAAGGAAAGATGTTTTGTCAGTTAAACCCAACTCTCAGATTCTCCTAGGTGTTGGAGAAGACTGGTATATAATATTGCTATTTTCCCTGTAATCAAGTTTTTTTTGTTTGTTTTAGACTTCTGTTATGAGAATTTGATTGCAAAGAGAATTCAGACCTTTACATTGAATGGAAAGAAAATAACAAAATCAGTCCTGTGTTAGAAAACGGAGTTGATTAGCTGAGAGCTTTGTATCAATTACCTAACTTTTTTTTTTTTTTTTTTTGGTTTTTTCGAGACAGGGTTTCTCTGTGGTTTTGGAGCCTGTCCTGGAACTAGCTCTTGTAGACCAGGCTGGTCTCGAACTCACAGAGATCCGCCTGCCTCTGCCTCCCGAGTGCTCAATTACCTAACTTAAAATTATTCAATACTACCCTATGTAAATTTACTTTTTAATCAGAATGAATGAAGATATTTTATAGCCTAGATCCTAAAATGATACTTCATTTTTAATAAGAATTTATTATCAGTAGTTAACATCTATTTTTGAACTTTCCTTTCTTAGAAGTAAATGGATTATAATAATTTGTTCCTAGGAGACCAGAAAACCTTACTTCCTGAGATAAACCATCAGTGAGTCTAAGTTAATTTCTATTTAAAGTGTAGCTTTTTAATAGACATTCACTGAAAGAGGGAGGGAATATAAGCCATCACTTAGTCTAAGTTTAATGTCCTGTTCGAAGAATAGCTATTTAGTAAGATGTCTGGTTTATTGAAAAATGCGGAGGCGGAGGGGGGGGCAGAATATGGGGGCCAGAGATGTGGCTCAGTTGATGGGTGCGTGCAAGACAAACACAGGTTCTGGGCTGGATCTCAGGGCCGCATAAACCAGGCCTGGTGTTGCCCATCTGTAATACCAGCACTCAGGAGGTGGAAGGGAAGGGTTACAAGTTCAAGGTCATCCTCAGCTATGTAGTGAATTTGAGGTCAGCCTCGTCTACATGAGACCATCTCATTAAAAAGTAAAGTAAAATAAAAATAAAAGAGATGTGGTGGTACATGTCTTTAATCCTAGCACTCAAGAGGCAGAGGCAAGTGGATCTCTGAGTTTGAGGCCAGTCTGATCTACAGAGTAAGTTCTAAGACAGCCAGGGTTACACATGGAAACCTTGTCTTGATCAACAGACAGTCAGACAAGCAGACAGATAAAAGAGAAGTGCCAACAGTTGGCTCACTGGGTAAAAGCACTTACCACTCTTGCAGAGGACCCAAGGTCAGTTCTTAGCATCCACATCAGTTACTCACAATGGCCTATAACTCTATCTCTAGGGCTCTAACACCCTCTTCTGGCTCCTGTGGACACACAGACACACACACACACACACACACACACACACACACACACAGAGGAATGTTAAAATACATTTAAATGTTCAATTTATTTTGAGTGTCTGGGCATCTTTCCTGATGTATATTTGTACACAGATGTGTGTGGAGTCCAGAAAAGGATGTCAGATGCCCTGGGACTCCAATTACAAATGGTTATGAGTTGCCATCTTAGTTCTAAATTGAGCCCAGATCCTCTGGAAGAGCAATTAGTATTCTTAACTCCTGAGCCATCTCTCTAGCCCTGAAAATAAATCTTAAAAAATAAAAATGTGGCTGGGTGGTGGTAGCACACGCCTTTAATCCCAGCACTCAGAAGGCAGAGGCAGGCAGATCTTTGTGAGTTCGAGGCCAGCCTGGTCTACAAGAGCTAGTTCCTGGACAGGCCCCAAAGCGACAGAGAAACCCTGTCTCGAAAAACAAAAAAATAAAAAGTAATAAAAAATAAAAATGTGAAAGAGGGATATGGGCAGGTCTTGGCTCTGGGACCAGCTTCCTATAAGTAGAGGGGTGGGGTGTAATAGGCTGCCCTGACTGTTGTCTGTGCTTTGCAGGATAGCTCCGGGATGAGGCTGTGGAAAAGACGGTGGTTCGTGCTCGCTGATTACTGTTTGTTTTATTATAAAGGTGAGCTGGAGTCTCAGTCTTGTGCTGGAGAGGCTGGTGAGGGAGTCCATTGTTAGAGCAGTGTCCTGCTCCTCAGCCTGTTACCCTGTGAGCGTGTTCACTGGCGTATATGGCTGGTGGCTGCAGCTTTACCCCTGCAGAAGTTCTACTTGTTGAATTCAAGTAAGAAAGATTCAGTTATGGTCTCAAGACCCAGAGTCACGTGGGCTTTTGCCCCACTTGGATGCAGTTTACCTTGGAGGTTCTGGAGAGCTGAGAAGCAGTAGATACTGTCTGGGTGTCTCCTGCTGTGGTACTGGACAGGACACTGGAGTTGAACTGCCCATTTGAGCATTTATGGAGCGCTGTGTAAAGTCAGGGACTGAGCAGTGTGGAAATCTCAAAATACGGAAGAGGAAGGAAAGTATGGATTCTGCTGAGTGCTTTTGAAGACACAAAGTCCTTAGGTTCCTCAGGGGAAATAGCAAGTGCTTGTCTTTGGGAATTCTGGGAAGACGTTTTTAGAAGGCTTAGGATTTGCATTTGGCATTTTAAGGATGGTGGGTGCTTTGTCTGTGTGGGAGGAGATAGGCATTACAAGGACACACTTGAGGAAAGTTCTAGATGCATAAGGAGTTGGAGTTGGAAGAACAGACACATGTGTGGGCCAGATGAGATGATCCTGAAGGCAAGGCTCAAGTGGATGGGGGCTAAATGCAAGGGCTGTCACAGAAGGGGTGGGGGCATGGGCTTAGTGTCCAGTGGAGAGTTATGTGGAGGAAGGAGAGCAGGAGTGCCACTCTTGTCTCTGCCCCACAACATGTGGCATGCTGTCCTACCGGCAGAGTGAGCGGAGAGTGCACTCATGCCCCTCTCTGCCTCGGGGAAAGTGCCCTGCAGGCCTCACTTCTGGGTCCTGTCAGTGCAGAGGGGCTGGTAAGCATTTGGAACCCGGAAAGGGGGTGGTGCAGACAGGATTCCCAGAATGCTGTTCTGATGTGTTTTTCCATCCAAAGACAGCCGAGAAGAAGCAGTTCTCGGGAGCATCCCTCTGCCCAGCTATGTCATCTCCCCTGTGGCCCCTGAGGATCGCATAAGCCGCAAGTATTCTTTTAAGGTAAGGTCTCTCTTCGGCCATTCGTGCCATCTTAAGAAGCAGTGTTCTCAGGAACACCTTCATGGGACAGGAAAGGAAGTTAGGAGGCTAGAGAGTCTCAGACTCAGACTAATGAGGTCTAAATGACTTAATAAAATCATGGCCAAGTGTGGTGGGCCCACACCTGTAATCCAGTTTCCGGGAGGCAGAGGCAGACAGATCTCTCCACATCAAGGCCAGCCTTGTCTGGTCTACATAACCTTTTGGTCTACCCTAGCCTAGCCAAGACTACATAGTGAGACACTGTCTTTTTTATTTTATTTCTTTTTAGAAAATGGTTATCACCCTAGCCATGAAGTGCAGCCCCTTCTATTCTGTAGTCTAGAAGCTGCTCTGAAATAATTTTGTTCAGTGGCTTCTAGAATTATCTTTGGCAGTAAAGTCTTCTTCAGAAAGTCTTCCCTTTCTGGGCGTAGTGGTTCCTTTTCTGTGCTGTGACCAGAAGCAACGTACAGGGGAAAGGGTTTATTTTGGGTTACAGTTGCAGAGGCATGAGTTCCTCATGGCAGGGAGGTGCGAAGTGGAAGTTGAGTTCACTTTTTAAACTGTAAGTGCAAATGAAGGGGGAAGGACTGGATGTAGCTTGCGGCTTTTAATCTCCGAGCTCACCCCCAATAGCTTTCTCCCTCCAGCAAGGCTGCACAACCTAAACCTCATCAGACAGCACTACTTTGGAGCTAAGTGTTCAAATACTGGAACTCATGGGGGATGCTTTTTATTCAAACTACCACACTGGGATTGAGCGTCACTGGGGGTAAATAATTGTGGACCAGGAGAGACAGACTTTGGAGTGGCGTCGTGGTAGTTTGTCATGGCTGTGTACAGTTTATCGTCACACTTCATTGTGAAATGGGAGACAGGTGCCGAGAAAGCATCTTCTTGTGTCCTCGCCCCTCCCTTCTGTCCTTCAGCCAGTGGTCTTTCCAAGATCCAGTCACACCCTTTTGCAGCCCGAGCTTGGTCCCCTCAGTAGCTTCTCACTGATCTCTAACTGAACACAGATCCTTAATGTGACCTGCAAGGTCCCAAGCACCCCACCCGGGCAGCATCATAGCCTTGCTGTGTGCCGCCCTTCCCTTTCCTCCCCTGAGCCGGCCTGCTGGCCTTGTCTATGAAGATAAATACTAAATGCTTCTCAGGGCCTGAGAGTCTCTTCCTCTTATTCAGGAGTTGCCTGTCAGGAAGAAGGCATCTTGAATATCCATCCTCAGATGAGTCTAGGTCAGGTGCTGTTTTCCCTCTTCCACAGCGTCCCAAACTCTGTGTGTGTGTGTGTGTGTGTGTGTGTGTGTGTGTGTATACGCGCACGTGCGTGCTCTAGCTTTCCATGAACTAAACACTCAACAGACGCTGAATTATTGCAAGGGGAGTAAACTTGAGAATCTGTCATTTGGGGACCTTTGCATGCTCCCTTATTATCCATGGTGGATCTGGGCTTCCTTAGTATTGGGTTAGCACAGCCTTGTCCTGGGGCAGACTGTTTCTGAGGTAGACTCTCCGTTCTCTCATCCTGGTTTCCTTTTGGTGTAGCCTGGTTTCTGTCCAGCCATGCGAAGTTGCCTAGTAGGGTTGTGCTAGCCGAGGAGCCCAGAGCGGAGAGGAAGGGACCATCTTGGTCCAGCAGAGAGAATGTGCACTAACCTGTCCGTCCCCCGCTGCAGGCTGTGCATACGGGCATGAGGGCGCTCATCTACAGCACCACCACAGCGGGCTCCCAGGCTGAGCACTCGGGCATGAGGACCTACTTCTTCAGTGCTGACACCCTGGAGGACATGAACGCCTGGGTCAGGGCCATGAACCAGGCTGCACAGGTGCTGTCTCGATCATCACTCAAGAGGTCAGTCCTGACGGAGGGTCCCGGGGTGGGAGCTAGAAAGCTCCATGGGGCTGCAGTTCCACTGGCCATGCTGTGTTCAGGATGGCCTTCTCTCTCAAGTACATTCTAGTAGCACATGCATCCCTCCAGGCTGGCAGCTCCTCTAGACAGCACCTAATACCTTGGTGCCTATGCCCTGGCTCCTTAGGATGCACAGCCGTGGGACCTGACATGTCAAGTTCTCAGATTTTTATGTTTGTGGTAGAAGGGATAGAGATCTTCCAAATCACATTCCCAGGTAACCTCTGTTAGGTTAATTGATAGCCTTTAAAATAACTTTCTGTTTATGGAATAGATATGTACAGATGTATGCAGGTTTCTTTCTTACCTTTAAAATTGTATGTATGTATGTTTGTATGTATGTATGTATGTATGTATGTATGTATGTATGTATGTATATTGTGTGTGCTGATGCCATGGCACCACTTTGGAGGTCAGAGGACAGCTTTTGGAAGTTTGTTCTCTCCTTCCATGACATGTGTCCCAGGAATTGAACTCGGGTTGTCAGGCTTGGTAGCGGGCACCTTATCCATTGGATCACCTTTCTTTTCATTTTAAAGCACAGCTTTATTAAAGAATATCTACATTAGCTGGGCGGTGGTGGTGCACGCCTTTAATCCCAGCACTCGGGAGGCAGAGGCAGGCAGGTCTCTGAGTTCGAGGCCAGCCTGGTCTACAAGAGCTAGTTCGAGGACAGGCACTAAAACTACAGAGAAACCTGGTCTTGAAAAAAAAAATCCATATTATTTAGTACCAGTAGACATAGATCAATATATCAGTCTGTGTTCTTCTGGTAATAACAAAATACCCAAGTCTGGGTAATATATAAAGAAAAGAGTTTTACTGGCCAAATAGTCTTGGAGGCTGAAGTCTATCTAACCAGCGTGGTTTGGAATCTACAGTGGACCTCCCATACACACACTGGTTACTGTATCAAAGGCAAGTGCCACCATGAAGGGAGCTCCTGCAAGAGGGAGAGCAGTATCCGTCGCTTTTTGTCCCTTTTGCTCTAGCATTGGCAATGACTTAATTGCCTTGACCTGGTGCTAAGCCCCATCTCTTACTCCTATCACATTTGAGATCAAATTTGTGAACTTGTAGGGTGAAAACCACACCCAAACCCTGGTAACTGTTTAGTTTGCCACAGTGTGCCACCGTGAGGTGTCCACCCTGTGACTGTCATATCTTCAGACACGTGCAAATCCTTGGCCAGCTCTGACGTGTGTTTCCTAAGCTAGTCTTATAAATAGATCCTAGATCAAAAACCCTCCACCAGCTCTTCACACTTGAGCTCTCCAGACTGCTGGTCAAAATACCACCCCCTTTTATTTTATAAGCAGCAAGGTGTGTTCCACTTGTGAGTGTTGGCTCACGTGTCTTTACTGGCGGTCGATCTTATCAGTCTTTGGAGTTAACTGATCTGCGTAGAGTCAGGTTATTTTTTTTTTGTTTTTATTTTATTTTATTTTTTTTTAAACACAGCTTCTCACTTTGTAACCCTAGACTGCTTTGAACTCACCGTAGTCCTCCTATCTCAGACTCCAAAATGTAGAGAGCACAGCTTGAGCCACCGGACTCGGCAGTACCTGGTTATGTTGATGCTTGTGTCCCCGTTGGTGAGTGAAGACAGGCAGAGAATGCTATTGGCTGTGTCGGAAGAACTTTTGAGAATTAACTAATTCACGGCTAAGATTTGGACAGCTGTATTCCTACCAGCGAATTATAGTTGATACTGGTTTTGCAAGGGATCCTGTCTTAAGCATTTTCTCTGAAAATTATACCATTTTCACTTCTAACAAACTCATAAAAAACTTATCCTATTTTCTCAAAGTTCTTTCCCTTTCAAAAGTTGGAAAAACTCTTGCCTTCTGAGTCAGAATCAAGACATGGTACCATTTTCCCTTAACAACCTGGAAGATGGCCGGGTGGTGGTGGCGCACGCCTTTAATCCCAGCACTCGGGAGGCAGAGGCAGGCGGATCTCTGTGAGTTCGAGGCCAGCCTGGTCTACAAGAGCTAGTTCCGGGACAGGAACCAAAAGCTACGGAGAAACCCTGTCTCGAAAATCAAAAAAAAACAAACAAAAAAACTGGAAGATGAAAATGCCAACCAAACAGACAGAGACTCAATAATCCTCTGGGTTTCCAGAATAAGATGTTCAGACATTTGGTTAGTTACAATGTTTTGTCAGGCAGGACAGAATCTTGCCTATCCTCCAGTCTGGTGATCCACTGACTTCCCCCTCTCCCCATTAGAGAGGTTGTGCCCCCACCCCTGCAGCAGCCTCCTGTCTCCTGGCTCTCACCCAGATCTTCTGCCTTGTTCTTAAGAATTATGGCATCAGTCAGTACTGTTGATTGTAGGTGACTCTAACAGGATAGGAGGGATTTACTGCTTCAGGCCCCTGAAGTGTTGAAGATACACCCAACTCTAGAGCAGCTGGGTTGGGGCTCAGAGACTGTCATCCTCTCAGGCTCTGGGCTGGATTCAGTCTTGGGCTCTGTGAGGAGGTCCAGGGAACATCTGGATCTGAGGGTTAAGGGTTTGTAGCATTCCCAGACTCTGGCCATCTTGTTTGAAGCCCAGCAGCAGAGCCGGGATGGGGGAGGGGAGTCCTTGCCCAAGAAGCGCTAAGCTGCACCCTCAAGTCAACCTCAGCCACACCGAGGCTCTTCACCATCCTCGGTGCCCAGAGAAAACACTCATTGATATCACTGACTGTTCAAAGCACACGCCTCACCCCCAGGACAAGAGTGGAGTCCTGTGGGCCACAGGGACTGAAAGCAGAAGTAAGGGCTTGTTCCATGGGAAGGCTGAGGGCATCAGGACGAGAACCTGGAGATGGCTTGTTGGCATGAGTGGTAGAACACCAGTAGCCATAACCCAAGCTGACCAAAGCACCCCTGGCCTCCTGCTGTAGTATTATCTTTTTTATTTATATTTTGTTTTGTGTGTATGGATGTTTTGCCTGTTTTTATGTCTGTATGTGCCTGGTGCCCACTGGAGTAGGAAGAGGGTGTTGGATTCCCTGGAACTGGAACTATAGACGGTTGTGAGCTGTCATGTGGGTGCTGGGCATCGAACCCAGGTCCTCTGGAAAGGCAGCCAATGCCCCTAACTTCTGAGCCATGTCTCCAGCCCACCCCACCCTCCCTTCCTTGAACACCTCCTCCCAGAGCTTAGTCTCTGCAGCCTTTCAGATGGGACTTCAGCTTCCCTGCTGTTACTGTGAGAATTACTTGCGGTTTTTCACACATCAGTTTCTCACAGTTCTTAAGACCCTTCCAAGGATTAAACACCCTTAGAGGAGCCTGAGATGCAGTCAGTATTCCCTGACAGACACGCCATCTTCTGTAGCTCCTGGCATAGTAACACCATCCACCTTTTTTTTTTTTTTTTTTTTTTTTTGTGTGTGTGCATCCTTCCAGTTTCAACTGTGAGTGTTTGAGAGAATCACACTCTCTTCTTTGCCAGTGTGTCTCCTCGCAGTGTGCGTAGCTCACCCCTAGCTCCCAGGGAATTCCTTCGTGCACCTCCTTGACTGCACCTGATTTGCATCATTTTGTTTCCTACATAAGTTTCAGATCCCCATGATACGCACCCCACCCCAGGAAGGGTACCATCCTCCCTCCGTCCCTTCCCTCTCTCTCTCTTCCCCTCCCACTCCATTTCTGTCTTCTCACCATCACATCTGGGCCTTGCCTGATTTTCTGGGGCCATCTTGACATCCATCTTTTCAGCTTGTCTAAGGATGCCTTGTCTTTTTCAGAGCACTGAGCAAGGAGGCCCGTTTGCTTTTGCAGCTCACAAGAGGAGAGAGACGAGGCCTATCAGATGGTACCTCCCATCTCCCCTGCTTCCAGTCCTGTCTTGGGACTACAGGAGCTTACATTCCAGTAACCTTTGGAATAAAATCCCATTTCCTTGACTGACTTGGAAGCTGCCATGTATGTCTGGTCCCTGCAAACTTATCTCTTGCCTTCCCTATTCTCAGTGCCCCAACCACCTGAGTCTCCCTGAACTTAGACCTGCACATTCGTTCATCTTTTATCCTGCAAATATTCGTGGAGGGCATTTGATACTAAAATCATAGCAGAGGAGAGGTAGTGTCTAAGTCAACCTGTATTTGGGAGTGGGGAGAAGATACCCTATAAAAGATGACTTTTACCAGGATCTAAGGACAGAGGCAGTAAGATGGGGCATGGACAAGGGTGGGACCAGTGGGTGCGAAGCAGCCACTTTTGTGTGTGTGTGTGTGTGTGTGTGTGTGTGTGTGTGTGTGTGATCAAGAAAAGCCTCTTTAGGTGAAGGCTGTGGAGAGGAGGCCTCATAGTACAAGGAAGTCGGATGGTGTAACTGAGGAAGAAGAGCATATATAGGGGCTGGTGAGTCAAAGAGCTTGCTGAGCAGGCCTGACCAGAGTCTGGTCCCCAATGCCACGTTCAAGGGGGATGGGGTAGCCAGATGCTGTGGCATGCATCTGTGCCTCATCACCATCTTGAAAAGCAGTTCATTTAGTACCTGGCCCAGAGTAAGTGTTTACTTAAGTGCATGACTGTTTGGCTGGCTGGCAAGTGTTGAAATAGGAGCGGCGGCGGGGTTGCGTCCCCAACACCCCGGCCGCTTGGCTAGCTTATGCCCGAAATAACAACACACAAACTGTATTCATTTAAGAACTGCTTGGCCCATGAACTCTAACCCTTACAGGCTAATTCTCGTACCTGGACTAGCCCATTTCTAATAATGTGTGTAAGCACCCCAAGGTGCGCTTACCGGGAAGAGTCTAGCCTCCGTCCATCCTGGTGTCTCTGCTCCAGAGAGCAGAGCTGTTCGGTCCCTCTGGAAGCAGAGCAGAGTCTGACCTCACTTCCTCTTCTGCCCAGAATTCTATTCTGTTTACTCCTCCCACCAATACTTTAACCTATGAGGCCAAGCAGTGTGTTTATTACTTAACCAATGAAATCAACAGATTAATATATGACACTCCCACATCAGGCAAGTGGAGGAGTTGGTGAACTAAACAGCTGTGAACTTGGCATGACGCTGGCAAGGTGGTACAGCGGGTTGAGACACTTACCTCCAAGCCTGACAACCTGAGTTTGATTCCTCAGGACCCACAAGGTTGAAGGAGAGAACCAACTCTAACAAGTTGTCCTTGGTCCTCCACACCTGCTCCCCCAAAGAAAAGTTTAAAAAGTTGGGATGACAGGGTACAGTGTGAACCCTGCTCTGGGATTCTGTGTAAGGAACCAGCCGTCTCGGAAATGGCCCCATGTTAAAAGCTCTCTGCGCTTTCTTTGGCCTTCCTTCCAGTTTCTGTTCACCCTAGGTGATGCATGGCTGGACAAGCCTCAGCGGAAGTACGTGATAAACATATTTTCAGCCCTGTGTCTACAGACTTTAGAGTCAGATATGGTGGAGTTGGAGTCCGGTGTGTGTCACTGGTACAGGGTCCGGCACAAAGTAGTTTACCTCTGAGCTTCACTTTCCTCAGCAGCCTGTGGGGTTGGGGTTGTGTGGCTAACAGGAGAAGTGTTTTGCTCAGGGTTCTGCCTTGTGAGGTTTGCTCACAGTCAGCACGCCCATTGTCACTGACCCTCCCTTCCATTAGACACTGTATTGTAGATAACCCCATACGGGGGTGTCCTCAGCCTCTCTGGACTTGGCCGAGCTGACTTGGCAGTGTTGCCGCAGGGTTGAGAGACGGTCTCTATCAACTTCCTGGTACTGGTTAGACCTTGCATATGTAGAAACAATAGCATCAACTTTCAAATGTAGATGACCCTGGCTGAGACTACTGTGGAGTTTTCAACTTTACAAGGGATTTTGTCACGTGCCACTCTGATGCAAGATTGGGCTGTTGCAAGTGTTTCGTTACTCACTAGGGAGACAGCTGAGGGTGGCAGAGTGTCCTTAGCACAGGTCAGGTCCACTGTTGCTAATTCAGGGAAAACGAAGCCAGTTGAAGAGGAATGAAATTTTCCCTGGGGCGAGGGCCAGGGGCTGCCCTATTTAACTCCAGGAGGATAAAAGGAAATGACTCCTCGCAGCTCTCAGCAGCTCCTTCCTTGATGCTAAGCACTAAGCAGAGTGAAGGAAGCTACCTGCTGGCCTTCCAGGTACTGTGAGGCCCCATCTCTCCAGTCTTTTCCACACCCTGCTTTCAACCCCACCCTAGAGGTTTATTCTGCAGGAATTCTGCTGTTCAACAAGATGTAATTGTTCCCCATCAAATTGATTTCCAGGAAGTATTAGAGCACGTGTGGGAGGGTATATCCTCCTTTGCACATGTACAGTAAAAACCAAGATCTATTGTTATAAAGTTAGCTCTGAGACGAGAAGAGACTTTGGGGTTAGCAGTGTTTCCTTCAGTTCTGATGCATACATGATAGTGCAGTGTTTGTCTGACTGCTTCTCTTAGTTCACGTAGTAGGAAGATAGAGCTACTTGGAGATGGAGGTGAAGCCCAGTTGATAGATACTTGTCTAGCACGCATAAACATGGGCTCCAACCCTACCATAGCATACTCCAGGTCTGTCATCCCGGAACTTGGGAGATAGAGGTGGGCCTTTTTCAGCTACATAAGAGTTTGAAGAAAGCCTAGAATTCACAAGTCTCCCACCCCCCAAAAAAGATAGATCTCTTTGTGTTTCCAAGCTGGAGTGACCACTTGACGGTGTAGGAACAAATGAAACCAAACAACCATGTGACTCTCCCAGGGATGACCCAGAAGGCAGCCGGGCTTTCATCATCTCAGAGGCAGCTGTAGATCATAGCCTGTAAGGATGAGAGGCAGGGAGTGAGGAGGACAAAGGCCAAGGTTGGCTACTTGAAAGCTGCTGGTGGGGTGCACCAAGAAAGAAGAGAAGAATAGAAGGCCGGGCAAACCGCTCAAGTGACCTTTGGAACAGAATTTCTTATCTGTGAGCTTACAGTAAGACTCGGTTTAAAGTATTTACTTTGTGTGTGTCTGTGCATATACGAATGCAGGCATGCTTGTGGCATTCAGAAGACAGCTTCCTGGAGTTGATTCTTTCCCTCTGCCGTGTGGGTTCTGGGGATGGAACTCAGGTTGATGGTGTTATTGTCAAGCACCTGTATTGAGCCCTCTTACAAGCCCAAGAATTGCCTTTTTGTTTGTTTGTTTGTTTGTTTTTGTGGGGATTTTCCTTTCTTTTTTAAGATTAGTTTTTTTTTAATGTATACAGTGTTCTGCCTACATGTCTACCTGCAAACCAGAAGAGAGTACTAGATCTCATTGCAGATGGTTGTGAGCCATTATATGGTTGCTGGGACTTGAATGCAGGACCTCTGGAAGAGCAGCCAGTGCTCTTAACCTCTAAGCCATCTCTCCAGTTCAAGAAATTTGCTTTTCTTAAGGAGGGGGAGTTCAAGATAGAGTTTCTCTGTAGCTTTGGAACCTGACCTGAAACTAGCTCTTGTAGACCAGGCTGGCCTTGAACTCACAGAGATCCACCTGCCTCTGCCTCCCGAGTGCTGGGATTAAAGGTGTGCACCACCAGTGCCTGGCAAAATTGCTTTTTTTAAGCTTAGGTCTCTAAATATTTTCCTGTTACCAGGGCATATAGACCCACTGGGTTGGAGTGGAAGGTCCCTCAGACCTAATCCATCATTATAATGAGATGTAACAGTCTCTGCAGTGTAACATGCGCCAGCGTCTACCATGTACTCAGGAAAGGGGATATATTGGGTCACAATGAGGAAGATCAGTGATACATCTGGTTTGGATGTGACTGCATGTGAGAGCTCATGCTGAGTCCGCAGGACTTGCTCCTGGCTTCCTTCAAACAGCACCTCATCCAGAGGCAACATGAGCTCAAGGCAACTCAAGCCAGGGTCCAAGGACTGACTCTCACTAGCCCCGATTGGGCCATTGGCCTCCCCCTGAACCAATCCTGAGACTTGGAGCTTTGGCAGAATAAGAAATACTAAAGTCAGCAGCGCCCAAAACATGTGGATACAAAGTGGGGAAGGGTAAGCACAAATGAAGGCAGAAAAGTTGTCAGACAGGCAGTGGACAGAGATATATGTTGGGGAGTTGAGATGTCTCTCAGATATGAATAAAATGAGATGGGAACCAGGGCTGGTGGTATAATCCTATAAAGGCAAGAGGATCAAGAGTTTAAGGCAATTTTCAGTTACACAGCAAGTTCAAGGCCAGCCTGGGCTCCTTGAGACCCTGTTTTAAAACAACAAAAAGGAGGCATAGATCTGGCAAGGTGGCTCAGCAGGTGAAAATACTTGCCACCGAGGCTGGCAGCCTGAATTCTATGCCAGGAGCTGTGTGGTGAAAAGAGAGATCCGACTCTTACAAGTTATGCTCGCACCTATAACATGCGCCATGACACGTGTGCACACACAAACACACTAATAAATGGGTAAACAAGTAAATAATAAAAAATTGTAGAGAATCCAGGCAGTGGTTGCAAACACCTTTAATCTCAGCACTCAGGAAGCAGAGGCAGGTGGATCTCTGAGTTCAAGGTGAGCCTGGTCTACAGAGTGAGTTCCTGGACAGCCAGGGCTACACGGAGAACCCTGCCTTGAAAAAACAAAATGAAAAATTGTAGAGAAGTACTGAAAGCCTCCCAGGGACAGGCCCTAGTTCTGTATGCCCATCTCTCAAGACAGAACAATGGCTCACTGGAGTCAGATGCTCTCATTGCACCTAGATGGAAACATGAGCAGGAACTCAGATGGGCACCAGACTAATTGTGCTCGGTGTGGGCAAGCCTCGACAGGAGAGCCCTGCCTGCTGTCACAGAGCCCCTCATTTAGCATTAGCTCACACCTTTACCTGTCACCCAGTTCCTCTCCTCATGCTTGCCAGGTTTGTATGTATGTGGGGGCAGGGTGAGGACAGAAAGGCAGTGGGAGGCAGAATCTAAAGTGTGCGGCCCTGGAGTAGCGCTCTCAATACAGTGACTGTGTCAGGGTGCAGTCCTTTACACTGAGGGACTTTCTGGAGGAGGTGGTTTTTAAGCCAGCTTCCCACAGCAGTTGGAAGGACTGGGCATGAGGGGAGGGGGTTCCAGAGATGAGTATGGCATGCTAAGGGGAGTCGTGCCTATGTGTGGACTGAATATGCTGCTGCCATTACAGGGACATGGACAAGGTGGAGCGGCAAGCCATGCCACAGGCCAATCACACGGAAGCTTGTCAAGAATGTGGCCATGTGGGACCTGGTCACTCGAGAGACTGTCCTCAGCGAGGCTATGAAGACTCCTTTGGCTTCGACAGGAGGGAGCCGGAGGATGAGCGTTTCCGTTCTCAAAGGGACCCACTGGAGGGCAGGCGGGACAGGAACAAGGCCAGGTCCCCGTACTTGCCAGCTGAGGAAGATGCTTTGTTTGTGGATCTACCCGGTGGACCCCGCGGCCAGCAAGCACAGCCACAGCGGCCTGAGAGGAATGGCATCCCACCTGTCTCTTATGGCCCAGGAGAACAAAATGGTACCAGTGGGTACCAACGTGCTGCTCCTCCCAGGACCAACCCGGAGAAACACAGCCAGAGGAAGACCAACCTGGCCCAGACAGAGCACTGGGCAAAGACTCAGAAGGGGGACAGCAGGAGGTCAGTTATGGTATTGAAGTACTGCTAATGAACATGAAAACGGGGTGCGTGTGTGTGTGCATGCGTGTGTGTTTGTGTGTGTGTGTGTACAGCTGTCATTTCCCCTGTAGTGTGTGTGTGTGTGTGTGAGAGAGAGAGAGAGAGAGAGAGAGAGAGAGAACAGCTGTCATTTCCCCTGTACCTACTCAGCTGATTAACTCCTCTAGCTTGATTTGAATGCCCTTAACAGCCCTCCAGGAAGGGGTGATCTCTCCTCTAATTTACAGACCAGAGAAATGGGCTTGGAGAAGGGAAGCAACCTGCATAGGACACAGAGATTGGTGGCAAGGCCGGAGTTTGAAGTGTGGTCTGGGCCTCTGCCCACCAAGAGGACACAGAGATGGCCAGCAGAATCAGTCGTTGACTCTTCAAGGCTGCCCCTCTGCTTCTAAGGAATCCTTGTAGATTCTTGAGGACACTGAGACCCAGCTGAGGAGTCCAGGGAGGAGCCTAGGCTCTGCGGACACTTGTGTGTCAGGGAGTCCAGGCTGCTCACCTGTGGCTCTAGAACTGCTCTTGAGAGGACAGCTGCAGCCTGTTGTCAGGTGGCGGGGTGTCTGGCCCATGTGAGGGAGAGTGGCTGGTGAAGAAACTCTAAGGAAGAACTTCGCTTGGAGACATGGCTGTGGGACTGGCCAGAAGGGGAAGCCTTCCAGGTTGTAACTACTCCCTAGGAAAGAGCAGGTGTCAGCTCTGTTTATTTAAATGTTCTGTTTTACTGAAAACAAAAAGCTGTGGCCCCAGAACAGAGGGGAGTGACACTGTTGTCCTTGGTGCTGAGCTGGTGGTTGTGAGGTGACCCATGGCTTAGTGGGCTTGCAAAACTGATAGGGTCACGTCACAGAACCTCATAGTTCAAGGTCAGGCATTTTAATGAACAAAAAGGCAGTAGGAGGAATGACTGGAAGGTCGTGTGCGGTGAGTCATAGACTCTGATGCTGTAGCTGCTACAGAGCTTGGGAGGAGGTGACTGCCGTGGCAGCCCAGGACGGCAATGTCACACCTAGGAACAAACATGAGGTTAGAAAGGCTAGGTATGTCCATGCTTTAGATATGAATGGTGAAGGAGCAGGGAGAGAATAAGCCCTGGGATTTGGATTTGCATACCTGAGTGGCAACTGAGCTGAGGAAGACTAAGGGAGGTCTTTTTTGCTTCCACTGAGTGTCTTGGACCTAGATGGGGACATCTTGACAGAGCTAATGTCTTTTTTCACTTGAAAAAAAAATTTAAATTTATACGTATGGGTGTTTTGCCTGCATTTATGTCTGTGTACCAGGTATGTAGCCAGTGCCTACAGAGGCCAGAAGAGGGTGTTGGGTTCCCTAGAACTGGAGTTAGAAACAGTACCATGTGAATGCTAGAAACCAAACCTGAGTCCTCTATAGGAACAGCAGGTGCTCTTAACAGCCACACTGTCTCTCTACACCCTTTTTCTTTCTTTCTATCTCTCTCTCTCTCTCTCTCTCTCTCTCTCTCTCTCTCTCTCTCTCTCTCTCTTTCTTTCTTTCTTTCTTTCATAGGGTCTTGCTATGTAGCCCAGGCTGGCCTCGAACTCACAGAGCTCCATCTGCCTCTACTTCCCAAGTGCCATGATGAAAGATATGCACACCACACCTGGGCAGGGCTAGTTTCACTGTTCAAGTCTGAAGGCAGTTGACTTAGGAATGAAGGCGCTACTGGGATGCCTTGCCAGCGAGAACCTTTCATGGGAGAAAGTACTTGCAAAAAAGCAGACAGCTGAGGTTTTCACTTGTCGCTGATGAAATGTGTCTCCATAAGCCTTCCTGACAGCCTACAGAGCTCCCTTACTCCACTACACACACTCAGGAGGCACAAGGGCAGCCTGTGTCAGGGAGCCAAGGGTGAGTGCTCAGCACGGGGATGAGAAGCAGCCACTAAGAGCTGATGGTGCTGGCTTTCCCCGTGTGTGGTGGGAGTTCGAGCCATTCTTATGTAAAGGACTGGGGATTTGGGGGTGGGGGGTAGGTCATCCATCTGTAGAGAGCAGTTCACTAGCCTTGGAGATCGCTGCAGAGCCCAGGGTGGAAGCTGATCTCAGTGGGATGGAAAGTGGGTCACAGTGAATCAGTCCTGAAGTGTAGAGGAGAATGCCCGTCAGCACGAGGTTGCACCATGTCTTAAAAGGACTGCATCCTTCATTCCCAGATATTTGTTCTTAAAGATGTATGTAGTGGGGCCTCATGACATGTCTGAGATCACCAGAGGGTAGCTGTAAGTTCCAGGCCAGTCTGCTCTACACACACACACACACTCACACTCGTATATATAAGTATAATTGTAATTTCCAATAGTAAGTGATAGAGGGATCTGGCTGCTTAATGAAGGAACTTTCCATTTGAATTTTCATTCAAATTTTCCATTTGAAAATACAGAGGAAGAAGCCGGCTATCTCTGCTTTGTGTATAGTTAAGACTGTGCTGACCTCATTGTCACTGGACAACGTTGTCACAGCCCATGGTAGCTGGCATTGGAAGGAGGGACAGACTGCTTTGGTCCACATTGAGAACTATTTCTAATTTATCCCTGCATTTTTGAGTTGCATCTACTTTGCATTTCCTTCATTTAACTCTCTTGGAATCGGGTGAGCAAGAGTCTCGCATACCCTGAGTCCTAGCATGTTCTGTGAGCTTGTTTTTGAAATTCTAGCCTTCAAAAATTCTCCACCCACACCCAGTGTTTAAGGTAAAGTATACTTGTAAAATTAAAAGGCGAGGTGGGGCTGGGGATTAAACGTGGATTTGAGGGAACACAATAGGAAATGAAAGGCCCGTGTGATTGATGTGGAAGCGAGGGTGAGGAATTTCTCCAGTGAGCGGGAGTGGTCACACAGGTTGATCTTCTGCTTTGACATGGCTGTATCTGAGGCAACTTTCTCAGTGTATCCTGTTTAACTTTCTGTTCTTGGGGCCACAGAACAGGTAAGAGACCAGGAGCTCCTGATTATTGTCTGTATAAGGCCAGGTTGTCAGGGCAGAGCTGCCCCGGGAGCACATACCTGCTCCTGGGAGCCATCAGGTCCCTGTCTCCATCAGCCAGTTAATCATTATAGTCTGGCTGCAGGGGCCAGTGGCCATCATCCTAATGTCTGAGATGACCCCACATAGCAAGGCATGGTCTGGAGGGTGGGCTCAGGATTTGGGGCAGTGCCTGGTGAGGGTTGTGATCATCTAAACGTGATAGGTGTGCCCTGCATGTGGGCTGGAGAAACAGGGGTTTGGCTGGGACATACTTTACATTCTTCAAGTTTTGCTTCAGGCAAAATAAACAATGGTTCCAAAGTCCTGGCCTCCAGGGGAACCCCCACACCTGGTTTCTGCTCCTGTCACCATGTCAGACATGGAATTTGGAAAAATTAATGAAAAAATCTCTGCCACCTAGTGGCAAGCAAACACACTTGCATGCTAGATGAGTTTGGGTTGAAGATATCTTAAAATCCCCTCAGCTAAATGAAAAGAAGCTGTCAAGGGAAGCTACCCTGCTTGACTGCTCCCCTCTATTCCTCACAGTGATTTAGTTGGAGGCTCTTATTTACATGTTATAGAAAGGGAAGGGAGACTCAGAAAAAACACAGACCTGAGGTCAGACAGATTTAATAGGCCATTAGAAGAGCACTTGTTTAAACAGGGTGAACACACTCTGCCGGAAGTTAGCACTCTTAGGTCTAGTAGGGCTGAGAAAACCTACATTTCAAAACTATATTTTAGATAGAGTCCTGAACTCAGGGCTTTGTGTATGCCTGGCAAGGACTCTTAGCAACTGAGTTATATCCTAGCCCTGTATTTAAAAGACTTTTTAGATTTATTTTATACATATGAATGTTTTGCCTGCATGTATGTGTACCATGTGTATTTCTGCTATCTGCAGAGGTCAGAAAAGAGAGTTAGAGCCCCTGGAACTAGCATTACAGATGGTTGTGAGTCACCATGTGGGTGCTGAAGATTGAACCCAGGTCCTTTGCAAGAGCAGCCAGTGCTAAGGCTTCCCTCCAGCTTTTCCTTTTAATCAAAAAGAAATAATTATGGGGCAGTTGGCAAGAGTGTTTTCTGTGCAAGTCTGAGAAACTGAGCTCAGGTCTTCAGCACCCACATTAGTGCCAGGCGTTTTGCCTATGCCAAGCAGCCCCAGTGTTTGGGCACAGACAGGTGGATCTAGGAGCTTACCAGCTAGCCAGCTTAGTCAGAACAAGAAGTTCTGGGCCAGTGAGAGACACTGTCTCAAGGGAATAGGCCAAGGGTGTTAGAGCAGGATACTTGTCTACACACATGTACATGGTCATGTACACCCAACACGTGTACATACACATAATCATGCATCTTTAAAAAGTATTAATTATATATTGATGTACTAGATGGGGCAGTCTAGTGTATGCACACAGTGTGACGTGGTTGAAACAAGCCGATGAATGCGCATCACCCCACCCACATACCCTTGTGTGTGTATGGTGAGAACACCCAGTCTTGAAGTATGTATTATCACTGCGTTGTGCAGCGGGGCTCTAATACATGCTCACTTGGTCCAGCTGAACCCTGGCTCACACTGACCAACATCTCCCCGTTTATTTCCCCCATCCCCAGGTCTGGTAACCACAGCTTTACTTATGGCTTCCCTGCATCCCCATAGAAGTGAGAGTGTACAGTGTCTAACTTAACTCAGGAATCTACCTTCTGAACAGGCCTTGGGTGCTGCCGCCACTGCCTTCACTGGCCATACTTAAAGTTAGCATCGGCCCAGAGTGATGTCTGACACACAGCAGTGCACTCTGTATAAGTTTACTATATGACGCTGATAAAACGGAATCAGGATTTGAACTCTGTAGACAGCAGGGCACTGAGGGGGCTTGGGGCACACTGGAGTGGTCAGATGTACAGGAAACACATCAGGAGGCCCTCAGAGTTGTCTGCAGGAGGGAAGGAAGCTGTCTCTGGGTTAGAAAGGTAATAAAAGGAAGACTCCAGCTCCAGCCATTTTCTTTGTGCTAGGGGTTGGTGCTATGATGACGGATGCTTAAAAGAAATCCCACAGTAGCTCAGAATTGAGTATAGTAGAGGGTTATTTATTTAGGGGTAGACTCACAGATTATAGTCGTCTGCTCGAACAAATGGGGAACAGCAACCAAATAGCCTGAGAGGCTGGATGTGCACTTCACTGTTGGCTTGTGTAGTATAAGAGGCCATGCCCAAATGGGCTGGTAACTTAAAGGCTACTGGCTGTAGGAATTCCTCCAGCAGTGCTAGGCTCCCAGGCAGAAGAAAAGAACTATGGGACCTTTCCAGACCCACAAACATTGCTTGTCGTTGACAGCTGGCAGGAGAAGAGAGGCAGTTTAATCACTCTGCACCAGGAGTGATGGGCAAGGGAACCCCCCGTGATCCTGGCTGTCAGAGAAAACTGCGTCTGGGGTCTTCTTCAGTGCAAAGCCCTATGTGTCTGCTTCAGTCACTGTTTGGAGTCCTCACAGTCTCCCCAGCAAGCTGATCTTGTGAGTTTCCTTAGCTGTGTTGCCCTGAGTGATGGTCTGACATGCTCTTTCTCCCTTTCTCAGCTTGCCCTTAGACCAGACACTTCCTCGCCAGGGTCCCAGTCAGCCCCTGTCCTTCCCGGAAAACTACCAGACTCTTCCCAAAAACACGAGACATCCTTCTGGGAGCTCTTCACCCCCTCCCCGGAACCTGCCCAGTGACTACAAGTACGCACAGGACCGAGCAAGCCATCTGAAGATGTCCAGTGAGGAGCGTCGGGCACACAGGGATGGTACCGTGTGGCAGCTCTACGAGTGGCAGCAGAGGCAGCAGTTCCGGCATGGCAGCCCCACGGCGCCCATAGGAGCTGGCTCCCCGGAGTTCACTGAGCAGGGCCGCAGCCGGAGCCTGCTAGAAGTGCCCCGCTCCATCTCTGTGCCTCCATCTCCTTCTGACATCCCTCCTCTAGGGCCTCCCAAGCCCTTACCACCCCGGCGGCCACATACACCAGCAGAAAGGGTCACAGTGAAGCCACCTGAGCAGAGGAGGAGTGTGGACATCTCTCTGGGAGGTTCTCCCAGGAAGGCACGGGGTCATGCTCTTAAGGTGAGGCCTAGGAACTTCTGCCGGGTGACTGGGGTCTGACATTGAGAGACAGAGTCACTCTGGCTTCTTGGCAGCCTACAAGGCAGGAAAAGGTGTTTGCATTCAGTCAGGCCATGAATCCATAACAACATAGCTGAGACTTACCTCTCCAGGGGTGACTTTCAGTTTGCTGTACTATGCCTAGTGAGGAAGGCTATGTGTTCCTTTTGGAGACCAGGTACCCAGGGCTCAAACAGGCAGAAGGGCACGTGGTAGGTGGGCCTGGCAGTGAGTGACTGAGGTCTCCTTGCCTGGCCTCAGTCTGGCTTCTCCTCTCCTGTTACAGAACTCCTCTCATGTGGACCGGCGTTCCATGCCTTCCATGGGCTACATGACCCACACAGTCAGCGCTCCCAGCTTACATGGAAAATCGGTAAGCTGCTCCCCACTTCCCTCTCCAGGTGATTGATGTGTGCCTTAGCGTATGAGACTCTAGCCCATGGTATTTCCTCCCTCAGAGCTGCAGCCCACAAGGCAGCTTTTGACCTCTTTTTAGTGATGAGGTGACAGAGAGGCCCAGCGGCTCACTTGGGCTTTGTAGCAGACCCTCCAAAGACTGAGAAAAGTGGAGGAGAATGTTGGGCTGGTCCCCTTTCTTCTACCTACCTGCTTTCTCCTTTAACACCCCTCCTTTCTTCACTGGCCTTCATTGCGATTGGTTAACTCTCCCTTCAAAGTTCACTGCGATTGGTTAACTCTCCCTTCAAAGTTCACTATGATTGGTTAACTCTTCCTTCAAAGCACCCATCCTTCTGGTGAAGCTGAACTGGTGGCTTTTGAGCAAGCAGCTTCCTGTGCCCTATGCTGGCGGTGCCTTTATTTGCCCTAATGACAGAGCCAATGCGATCATTGCCTAGTGGTGTCACATCAATGTTGTCCTGGCACGGGGTGAAGAGTATAATTGCAGCGGTGTGCCCTGCGGTGGCTGACTCCCTCCTGATGTGTCTACACGCCCGCAGCTGGAAGAGCTCTCGCTGCTGCTCACCCGGTTGCAGCGGCACCAGGCCAAGTTGGCCAGCGTGCGCAATTTCGCCGTGGGCCAGTTACTGCACCACTACTTGACCTTTCCTGCCTGCCAGGTCAGCGCCGGTGGGCTCTCCTGGCCCAGGCAGGGATGGCCTGCCTCTCATGTTTCCCCGTGCAGTGTGCTCTGGTCTGTCCTGCTGGCTGGCTCTCTTCCTCTTCCCTTGCCTGTTGCTTCTGGGTGCTATAGCCAGTCACTGTGGGCAATGGTGGAGCGTTCCTCCCACCTCGCTCTGGCACAGGGGAGAGGATGCATGGGGTGGGACAGACCTGAACCTTGCTTCTTGAGCTGTGCAGTTGCCAGGCTGGCACATGGTCATCTTGTCTAAGAGCTGTGCCTGTCACTCATTGTCACTCTGCCTTGTCATTCATTGAAGACATGTGGGTCAGCCTGGAGGGAAATGTAGGGCACCTCCCCTTGCAGAACAGCCCTCATCTCTTGTCCTATTTGGCCTTGTAGGAACCTGCATAGGTAAGGTGGTACTGAATTGTCATTATGGGACAAGAGGATCCTGAAGGGGCAGTAACTCACTGTGTTTCCAGGAGCTTGCAGGCTGGAGCCAGAATCCCTGTTTTAGAGTGTGAAATAGCACCAGGGCCTTGGATTTCAGGCTTCATGAGACTGCCCAGAAGTTTTTCTCTTGGGCTCCTGGAGCAGCTAAAGGAAACGGAGTCCTTCTTGTCTGCAGAGTTGTCCTTGGGCAGTGGTGACTCAGCCATACCAGCCTCGTCCCTTCATGCAGCACAGAGCAAGGCAGAGGACAGATGAGGGTGCCAGCATTGTCACTTCCCCTTTTAGCAGGATCTGGAGGACCCAGGAAATGTAATTAGAAAAATGGGTGTAAGAGAATGGGTTTGTTTGTTAAAAACAAACGAGCAAACCTAAGTTGTGAGACTAAGTAGATTATTCGTGGTTAAAGAGCTTGCCATGAAATTGTGTGAAACCTGTTAAATGCTGGCTGGGTGTGGCTGTTCTCCTGTGATTCCAACCCCAGAGCAAGCTCACTAGTAAGACTGCTGTATCAATGAGCCTTGCCTTATAAATAGGTAGAAGAGCAATGGAATGCTCTCACACATGTGTGTGCCCCACACATGCAAAAACATGCACACCCACATGCATACCACACACACACAAAGAAAAAGAAAAGAGTCATAAATCACGAGTTTGATTTTAAATAACATGCTTCAGCTATCTTTGAACACACATGTTCAAAGTGTGTAGGGACAATGACTTGAGGAAGTGGGGCAGTGAAGGAGACAATATAGCGAAAGCCTGTACAAACCATAAGCATCCCTTACAGATAGGGCTTCCAGGCCTAAAGCACTGTGTGAGCGTCTCATGTGTGAACTGTGTGTAGGAGATGGTCTCGCACTGTATTTGTCTACCTTCCCCATCCTTGGCTTGCTCAGCTGGAGGCCCCCAGTCCACTAAGAGCTCTGGACTATTCTTAAGTAAGCTCTCACAACTCTTCTGCCTCAATTAGCTTCTGTGATCTTCTGAACACGAGTGTGACTTGTGGGAAGTCTTATTCTTAATAATAGCTTGATAGACCATGAGAGACACCACCAACAGTCTTACCCAGGGACCCCTTCAAGAGCAAAGCTTCCAGGAAACTTGTAGCAGGAGCCCAAGGTCATACTTAGTGGATCACCCAAGTTGTTTCTCTCTGCCTTTTCCAGCAATTCATCCACATCACTTGGGGTCATATTACTTCATGCATGTGAGACAGCCCAGCCCAAAGGTTTGATGCCAAGGGTTAGAGCAGTGCTTGCTGTCCATGGGATCCTAGCTCTATGGATGGCAAGTGCTCTTCCAGGCAGATCTCCCGGTTCTGCCTCAGGAGCCCGATCTGCCTCATCTGCTCTACTGCCCTAGCAGCCTTGTTGGGTCCTCCCCATCAAACCACAATGGGTGCAGGGATAAGCTGGCTTTTCCCACAGTGACCCACAAGCTCTACCATGCCGAAAGAGGGCTCTGAGTTTCTCCGTGCTTCCTCCATGGCCTGGTGTGTTCGTCTGCTGTGGTCCCGTGTCTTCAGAGCTGTGTGATGTGAAGGGTCGACTATGAAGATCAGTTATTTTAACACTAGTGTTTGTAACTGTTTTGTTTTGTTTTTCCTCCCTGTTTCCTTGGAAGGCTGATGATACCTACCTCCAGCTGAAAAAGGACCTGGAGTACCTGGATCTAAAGGTGGGTGGTGGATCTGGAGAGATCCCTCAGTTCAGTTCCCAGCACCCACCTCAGGCAGTTCACTGCCACCTACTATTCTGTTCTAGAGCATTCAATTCCCTCCACTGGCACCCACATGCACATGGTGCAGTAAGCTCACACAGGCACACGCACTACTCCTAAACAAAGATAATACATCTTTGAAGCCGAGTGGCATCAGGATCCCACCTCCCATGGACACTCATTTTTTTGAGAGTATTACCTGCTGGAGCCCAACACTTATGCTCCAGACCTTAAGTGAAAAGTCTTGTCTGAATCAGATGAACTTCATTGCTTACAGTGGGACTCTCGTGAAGTTGCTTGTGAGCCCTGGTGGGAGGTCTCTGACTTAGAGAATGAGGACCATGATTTTGATCTTTTCCTTCCCTTGGTTAGACCCAGAGGTTCCTAGGAAGTAGCCACTGGCTTCATCAGAATCTCTGCTGCTGCTGGGAGTGTGTTTGGTTCATAGGGAGTGGCTGATGTATGTCTTCAGCCACAAGTGGCTTCATGGGTCCTTTGGGTTTGTTGATGAGGGAGCAAGTTCCACATGGAGTGATGGGACTTTGAGGCCCACCCATTGCCTCTCCCTTTAAAGCTGAGCACTAGGAGCCCATGCATGCTTAAGGCCCAGGCTCTGACTCAGCCTTCACAACAGACCTGAAGGGCTCCGGGGAAATGGGATACATTCCTCCCTGGAGAAAGATGCTCCTGACTTGCCACAACTCTGCATATTCCCTCTGAGAACAGTTCCTCATGCTGGTGCTGTGGACCAGACTGGAGGAGACTAACCTTAGTCAGTCCGGGCAGGGAAGGGACCGTGCTCATCTCCCCTGCACTGTGAACCTGGCTCAAGATGCTGCTAATGCAGGGGTCGCTTCAGGCCTCATGGGGCTCAGCTGTAATATAGCACATAAGGCGGTAGGCGGAAGGTTTTCCCATGCTGACAGTCCACCAAAGTCTTGCTTAGATATCTCCCAGTTCACTTAGGTATCTATTAAGCATTTGCTGTATGTCCAGCTAGCTCTACAAAGGCAGATGCAAAAGGAAAACTGAGGTCCTACTCATAAGAAATTTCCAAATAATGTGGGCTGGGGAAAGAAAATATCCCCACATGATAATATAAACTGTGATCATACAGAGATCTATTTGGCTCAGTTCTGAGGTGGAGTCATGAGAATTCCTATGGGCCGCGAGAAAGGCTCCTGAGGAAGCAGGGAGCAGATGAACAACAGAGCTTTGAGGACTCATGGCTTAGAGTAATTGTTAGGAAGTAGGTGGGGACAGGACCAGAGTGAGCCAAAGAGAGCTGGGGTACAGTGGTGAGAATAGAGCCATGGGGAAAGGTGGAAACAAATCCTGCTGACTCCTGATCCTCTCCTAGGCCTTAGGAAGGAAGGCTCAGGGAGCACAGAGATTAAAAGAGGAGAAACTGAGGCACAGGCTTCAGAGCAAGAGTTCCTGTTTGTCCAGACTGCAAGAGAAGCTGTCTGGCCCATGGACTGTGTTTTATTTTGTTGCATTAGCCTGCACAGTAGCCCTATAAGGGAAGTAAATCACTTCCTCGAGGCCACATTGGAGACAGAGATAAATTGGCTCCCGTGCTACCCTGAAGCTCACATTCACCTTGCTACCAGCTTTCATAACACGCCATGTGTGCTGCTGTGGTCCCAAAGGCATTAAACTTTGGGGGGAGGCAAACTTGGGTTCCAATGGCAGGGAATGGATTTGATAGACTGAAGAGGCAAGTTATATCCAGAGGAAGGGGGCGGTGCTTTCCTAGCTAGCAGCTGTGTCACCTGAGGAGGAATTCTGGATGCTGCCATTGTTTGTCATGAGAATAGCTGGGCTTGCAGCCACATTTTCCTGGTGCTGTATCTGCTAACTGTAATTACTAAGCTCTTCTCAGGGAACTAGTCCCCAGATGAGCCTCTCCTGAAGCTGAGAGAAGCTTGACTCTCCCACTGCCCATGTGAGAGTAGATGCTAGACTGTGAGTGCAGAGTTGATAAGAAAGGCTACTGTGCCTCCATGGCTTCCACCAGAGGGCAGAGAGACCAGCTCTGCCCTTCACAGACCTACCTGGGATATTAGATTCTCAAAGGAATAGCCAACTGCAGGACACAGAGCCCAGGATCGAGGGTCTCCAGATGAATGTGTACAGATGTTCAAAGCATAAATCTAAGTCTAAAAGTGTTGGTCCAGTTTCCATTTTCTGGGGTAGTGCTCCAGGGTGGGTCTCTGCTTACCTTGATATACTGTATGCTGATGTCCCCTTCACCTGCGAACTCAGATTCTCTTCCCCAGCTTCTCTATGAGCCAGGGAGCATTTCCACAGTGGGAAGTGTGCCTGTGAGAAGACTCACAGCAGCAGTGCAGTGACAGGGAACTAGGGGAACTTGGGAGAAATGGAGACAGGCTGCAAAGCTCTGGTGTGTCACCATGTATTTCCTGTGACTCTAAAGAGGAGTGAGCCCAGCAGATGGCAGCTCTAGGCAGACAGGGTTCAGCTGGTAGACATGCTCTTCTGAAAGGGCCTCTCCATAGTGCTGAATGCCCTGTCCCTGGGCTGCACGGCTGAAACTCCAAGACATTGGGTCATGGATCCTGTGACATACTGGGCAGAATGTTTTTGAAATGAGGAAGAGAGAACAAGTCACACACCTAGGAAAGCGGGTGCACTTGAGTAAGCCCCGAAGACCATTCTGGGCACGGGAGGCAAGCTCAGTCTCTCTAGGACCAACTTCCTCTTTCTATGGTGGGATAGATTGAGCCTCCAGCCTCATGCATGTGGGGCAAGCAGCCTACCACTGAACCATACTCAACTATGTCACCAATTCTTTTTCCTTTTTGTTTTAAGATAAGGTCTTACTATTAATAAATTCCCAGGTTAGCATTGAATTCCTTTTTTTTAGCCCAGGCTGGCTTTGAACTTGCACCAGCTACTCAGGTAGTTGCAATAACTGGCCAGTGTCACTAAAGTCAAGTGTGTGTGTGTGTGTGTGTGTGTGTGTGTGTGTGTGTGTGTGTGTATGTGTGTGTGTGTTAATAGGGGTATAACCCAGGGCCTTGTGCTTGCCGGGCAGGTGCATTCCCACTGCTCTGTTTCCAGCCCTAGAGCAAGCTTCTCTAGAGATTTCCCTTTCTCATATCTGATCTGCTAATCCCCTCACTCTGCTGTGTTGACCTATGCTCTTTCATGCTCTTATCCAAGAGCCAAGGTTCCAGGGCCCATCCACCCCTCTGATTAGCTGACCCCCAGTTTCCTGAGTTCATTGGTGGTGTGTTCTCCCTAGCACCTTGGGCGAGTTTTCCTCCCTCAGGTGGACATTGCTGCTGTGGGCCAGACAGTCAGATGAAGGCACCTCTTAGAAGACGCTCTTAGCTAGGGTGTTTTGGGGAGTGCTTGCTTCTCTGCTCTTTCTCTTGGAGATGCCAGGGTAAAAAGGACTGAGCAATGATGAAGCTTCTCTTCTACCTGGCAGTGTGGGCACTTGGTTCATTTGTGTGTTGATTCTCTCAGTAGCTCCAAGTAATAGGAATTATTGTCCCTACCCTGTTAACCAAGAACTTGTGTCTCAGAGACGTTAAAGGACTTCTGCAAAGTTCCGTGACTGGAGCTGACTTCAGCCCTGAGTTTGTCATCATGGAAATTCTGTCTCCCAGAACCTGGACTCCACTGATTGGCTTCCAGGCGTGGGCTGTGGTGGGGTTGCTGTTGTCCACAGCGTTTTAAAAGAATTACTCTTTTAGATGGAGTCTAATAGTGTTGCCCAGTTTGTTCTCAAACACCCAGACTCAAATGATGCTCCTGGGCTATGGATGTGTGCCTGTGCTCTTGGCTTTGAGTTATTTTTATACAGCTGTGAAACACATCCACGTGAGGTTGAGCAGGGTGTCTTTGGCTGTTGGGGGATATCTTTGTAGATCCAGAAGGTTGCCTTCAACCCCAGGGAGTCCCTTGTCTCTGGGAAGAAGTGCCATTGCAGCTTCACATCCGTGGCACTGTAGGTTTTCTCTGACAGTTTGAGCCTGAGATCAGGGCTTATCCATTTCCAACGTCAGCTTCTCAGGCAGAGTTTTTTAGGTTGTTATCTGGGACATCAGCTATTTCTAGAACACCTGGGAACTTGGTTTTTAAAAATATAGATCTGAGCCAGGTCTAATGATACACACCCATTTCTTAGGGGACTGAGATAGGAGGATCATTTGAGCCTGTAAATTAGAGGCCAGCCCACAGAACATAATGACTTCCTCAGTCAAACTGCCAGACAATAATGGTGCACGCCTTTAATCCCAGCACTTGGGAGGCAGAGGCAGGTGGATCTTTGAGTTTGAGGCCAGCCTGGTCTACAGACTGAGTTCCAGGATGGCTAGGATTACACAGAGAAACTCTGTCTTGGAAAAAAAAAAAATTTAAAGAAAAAAAAGCTGGCCATAGTGGCTCACACCTTGGAGGTGGGTGGATTTCTGTGAGCTTGAGGCCAGGCTGGTTTATACCGGGAGTTCCAGGACAGCTACCAAAACTTCCCATAGAGACTTTGTCTCAAAGAACAAATAAACAAACTTCAGAACCTGACACAATCCATGCCTGTAGTTCCTGCACTCAGTAGGACAGAGACGGGATTGCTTCAAGTTCAAGGTCACCAGGCTAGCCAAGGATACAGAGACCCTGACTCAAAGGTAAAGCAGATAAAGGCACTCGCTGCCAAGCCCTATGACCTGATTTTGACCCCCAGTACCACGCAGTGTAAGGAGAGCACTGTCTCCACAAGCACGCACACACACACACTATAGGATGCACACACAGATATGTTTTTTTTTTTTTTTGTTTAAGGCATATTTGGAGGTCTTTACTGAGTTAGCACCCTTGTGCTCAGAGTCCTGGGCTCAAGCTCTAGTGTGACTCTTGTGCACCCTAAAATTTGAGGTCTGCCATTCAGGGACAGAGAATACCATCCCAGCTGTGAGCTCTACCACTGGGGAACTTGGAAAACGCACATCAATGCTCGAGCCCCATGCTTAGATACTCTGACCTAACTGATGATATTCAAGCATTCCTCTCTAAAAACCAAACAGACAGTCCCTTAGGTGTTTTTAAAGTACAGCCAAAGTTGAGAAAGATTGCCTCAAAGTGGTTGTTTTGTATTTTTTGTTTTGTTTTGTTTTGAGACAAGGTCTCGTCTATTCAGGGTTGTTCTTGGATGCCCAATGACCTTGGACTTGTGTCTTCCTGCCTCTGTCCCCAAGTCTGGGATTATAAAGTGCATCTATGACTGGTTTATGTGGTACTAGACGGAGCCCACTGCTTCACGAAGGCTGGCCAAGCACTCTACCAGCGAAGCTATACACCTCGCTAAGAAGTGGTGGCTCTCAAAGTGTGGTCTCTGATCAGCTACAACAGCAGCACCTGGGAATCTGTTAGTAATGCAAAATCTTGAGTCCTACTCCAGGTCTGCCTCTGATGGCACCTGGGCCTTCCAGATGATTCTGCACCACTCAAATGATTTTTTTCACCCTGAAGTTATAGAACCAGCATAGGAATCCTGATGCCAGACTAGGGGTGTAACTTATGATAAAGCAGTTGTCTATGATACGAGGGGCCCTGGATTCAATTTTCAACCTTCTAATAAAAGATAAAACTTCTGTTGGCCTGGGATCTACTCACCTGGAGGGTGAGGACTGTGGGTTTTTCTTTTATTTGCATTTCTTTAACGTGTCTGTGTGCATACGTTAAGGCATGCGTGTGGCAATCAGGACAGCCTGCAGGGGCTGGTTCTCTCCTGCACTATGTGGGTCCCGGGATTAAGCTCGGGTCGTCAGGTTCAGTGGCGGCATTGCCCACTGAGCCATCTCGGAGGCCTGCTAGACTATTCCAGCACCAATTATAAGCATTTGGGACCATTGGTCAGTCATGGATGTTTAGCTGCACCACATGTGTGGAGGTGGAATTTGAGGACTTTCTGTGGAAAATAATTGTATTTGTTTTGTTTTGAAAAATAATTGTTAAAAATGAGCCAAGAGCATGGAGCCACTCTAAACCAAGCTTCCAGGTGTTCCAGAACACGGTGAGGGAGGCAGGAAGAAGCAGATCTCTTCTGTTAGGCTTCCCCTCGCCTTCTGCAGCAGAACTAAGAAGGAAGTGGCCTTGTACTTGGTCAGCCTACACAGCCCCCCACCCTCAAGTAAGCAAAGCTGATTCAGGGCCTATTCTTCAGAGGCAGGCGGCTGGGAGGCTGTCGTACCTGTCTGCACTCCTCCCCTCTGAGGCTCCCCTTCGCCAGCCCCCAGACTGTGGCTGCTTCAAGTGTCGTTGGATGTCTCACCTGTTACGTTTTGTTGTATTTGCCTTTCTGTTCGGAACAGATTAAAAATAATGAACCTTTGATCAACGTGCTTTACAAAGTGCTGAAGAAGTCAGCACGGGGCTGTCGGCCCGGGAGAAGCGTAAGATGATCGGATCCGTGTCTCCAGGCGGGGCCATTCCATTGCTTCTGCCTCAGTGCCGGCATCATCACTTGCTTAAGCAGTTGCTCTCCTGACGCCCCACGCTTCCTGCAAGTCATTTCGGTTGATTTTCTTTAACCCAAAGCTCTCTTCAGCATTGTGGCCAACACATTGGGCTGAGCTCCTCATCTGTGGTGTCTTGTGGCTCCATCTTTTATGTTGCAGAGGGATGGGGAGCTTGCCTGGCTTGCCATCATCTTGTGTTGTGTCTCCATCCTCACATGTCTGCCTCCATGTAGGTAGGGCCGAGCATGAGTTTCTTGGGAGGGAGCAGCAGTTCCTAACCACTATAGAGAGGCCATGGATTCCACTGTCTCTGCCTTCGCTAGGGCAGGGTGTCTGGAACTGGATAGCCACCCTTTGGATGGTCTCTTTTGCAGTGTAGACAGCTTTGGGGACATTCTGAGGGAGGCTCTAGGCGGGGAAGGCAGGTGTGTCAGGTCCTGACATAGTGGAGAAGTGGAATGGTCCATGAACCCCGAGTCTCTTTCCACGTAGAGATTCCTTAGGATGAATGAGGACCCAAGACCTTTGGTTTTTCTGGTGACAGATAGTTGGGGCACCTGTTGACATTTTACGTGGATATAAATACTGTTATCACAGTGTAATTTTAAAAAAGGGAACTTAGATGCCACATACTACCTCTGGCTGTGATTATTCATTAGAGCATCCTTTCTCTGTTTCTCTGGAACGGAGCTAAGCGGGGCGGGGGGGGGGGGGACCTCGGAGCTGTAGAAGAGCTTCCAGGAAGCTGGTGCCCTATGGCCTGTGACCTTTACTCCATTGGAAGCCAAACTGGCCAATCTGATCTTGACATGTTCATGAACTCACTTAGCAAACATTCTCCGTATCTCCTCCATATGCCAGGTCTTGGCTGGGCTTCAAAGATAGAAAAGACATCTTAGTCTCCACAGTGACCCCTAACATGGTTAAGAGGTCTGGAGAGGAGAACTGAGCAAACATCATTGTTATCAGCTACTCTAAGCGCCACAGCAGTGACAGGCACCCTGGGAGAGGGACACCCTGAAGGGCACCAGACCCACTCAAAGGGAAGAAAGAAAGACGAGGACTTTGAATTCCTAGCTCCCAGCATCCTATAAACGTCACAGTAAAGAGGACAAGGGGGGGGGGCTGTTCCTTAGAAAAGAGGGAATGTGACTTTCCCAGGAGGTGGGGGGAGTGAAAGATTGGCTCCAGAGTTGTGCTAAGGACAGCAGTGAAGGGCACCCTTTCAGAGGGAATGCCACCAGAAAGCTTAATTTTGATCTGCTTTCTCAGAACGCCTTTGTGTGTAGATACCTCACTTCTTCCCTGATGATGCTGGATAAACGAGGCGCTGCTCAGTTAGAGACTCTGCCTTATTTAAGCAGCAGAGACATCCACAGTAAAAAAGCTTCAGGGGAAAAGGGGGAGGAGTTTGCTGGGGAAATCCCCAGAGTGCACCTCAATTTGAAAGTGATTTCTAGCTGGTTAACGAGCTTAGGCCAGCTTCTTCAGAGAAGAGACCGACTCACAGCCCTCCCCTTGGAAGGGCTTGTTTCAGGGCTCTGTATGTTCTAACTGTGTACATCCATGTATGCACACATACTCTGACACAGATCCCAAGAAGTTCCATGAATGATTGGTGAGCACCCTCCCTTAAGCCAGGCGTTATATTCCAGTCAGGCTTTATCACAAAACAAACCAGGCCAGAGTCCCTGCCCTCTGCTGTGTGGCCGAATAGAATCAGTCCTCAGCTCAAAGCAAGGGGTAGTGATGGGGGTAGTGAGACGGCCCAGTGGTTAAAAGTACTGGATGTTCTTCCAGAAGACTCGGTTTCCATTCCAAGCACCCATGTGGCAACTTACAACTGTAACTCCAATCACAGGAGATCCAGTACCTTCTCTGGTCTCCATGAGTACACAGACCCATGCATATGGTACACAGACACACATGCAGGCAAAACACCCATGCATGTAAAATAAATAATTTCTTTTGTTGTTTTTTGAGACAGGGTTTCTTGGTGTAACCCTGGCTGTCCTGGAAGTCTCTGTAGACCAGGCTGGACTCGAATTCAGAGATCCACCTGCCTCTGCCTCTCAAGTGCTATAATTAAAGGCATGCGCCACCACTGCCTGGCAAATAATATTTCCTTTAAAAGTAGTCATTTGCTATTGGCCTGGACTTGCTGAGGTTGGGTGTAGGACAGCTGGGCACGTGGATGTGGTTAGTCTGAAGGGAATGATTGCTAATGCATTTTGACTCCTGATTCAGACTCACAAGCGTCTTGGGCCTTCCAGATGGAGTGAAGAGAAAACAAAGCTATCTGTCCAACAACTGTCCATCCTGGGGCCTTCTGCCTAGCACATACACACTACCTGCTGTTTTCTGTGTCCACTGCTCAGAGCCTCAGAACAGAACAGAGATGGGCTCATGGTTTGAGGTGCATTAGACCTAGCCTTGTCTTGACCCTGGGAGCCCGCACCTACACAGCCTATGGCAGGAAGGTGCCTCGGGGAAATGGAAGCATGAAATGAGAGTTGGAGTCAGCTGATAGGGGGTCAGCGGGAGCAGGGAGGCAGCAAGCTGCCTGCTTACTGTTGACCAAGGATGTGGACAGGGATGCTCCACTGGCTGGAAGTGTGGGTGACTTGTTCATTGCTTTGTTGAGATGGTAAGGCAGCCAAACCTGTTGTCTAGGTGTGAACCTGACCTGGGCACCTTCTCCCTTTGGCTGGATCTTTTAGCAGTATAGGGTGAGGAAGGCTGACCTTGTCCATGGGGAATTGGGCTTCTCAGAGACCAGAAACAGACTGGACAGTGGGGTGTAGTCCTCTGTTGTCCCTAGGTACGGTAGCAGGCCTCTCTTATTCTTGGCAGACTTATGAAGACCCACAGAAATGTGTCATGCTCACTTGGGGCAGACACCTTTAAAACCGATAACCCTGTAACTTGAGCACCTGTGTTTTCTTTAATTTGAGAAATGTAATAATTTTAGGGTCATCAAAAGGTTTCATTTTTTCCATAAAGTGAAAATTAAAACAATGCAGATAGTGCTCAAGTTTCTGCCCATCATGTGCCATGAGCCTCCTGCCTCCGCTGAGACTCCCACCTCCATCTACCATAGGACTAACCTTCCTTCCTGAGTTTTGGCTCCGCCCCCCAAGTTAATCATTAAATTGTTCACCTCCCAGATGACAGGCCGAGATCTTCTTAAGGATCGAAGTCTGAAGCCGATGAAGATCGCTGAAAGTGACGTTGATGTGAGTTACCAGTGCCAGGCTGGCTCTTCGGCCACCTCCTGACTGGACCTGGGCAGTTTCCCGCAGGGTTCACGTGGTGCTCTCCCCAGAGGCTTTCTGCTCTTATTCCTGAGTCCATTCCCTGTTCTCACCTCCCCCCACCCCACCCCTGTCCTCTCCAACTTGTTCTTGCTTATAGGTCAAGTTGAGTGTTTTCTGTGAACAAGACAGGATCCTCCAGGACTTGGAAGACAAGATCCGAGCTCTCAAGGAGAATAAAGTACGCATCATCTTTGCTTCGTAGTGGGTGGGCGGAGGGACATGCAGTCACTCCTGTCTTTGCTGGCGCAGCGTTTGCACTCTTGTGTTAGCATCAGTCAACAGGAGGTGCCGGGAATGTAGCTCAGGTTATATAGTGCTTGCCTAACATGCATGAAGCCCCAGCATCCATCCTCAGCATCACATATAAACCAGGGGTGATTAGCACACACCCATAACCTTGGCACTTGAAAGGTAGACTCCAGGGGAAATCAGAATTTTAAGGTCATCCTCAGCTATGCAGTGCTTGGCCCTGTTTAAAAACCACAAACAATAAATAAAATGGGTGTTAGTTTATTCAATCCTTTTTTGGTCTGAGGGTGTTCCCCAAAGACTTGTATCTGAGTCTCCTGTCCTTTTCGCAAGAACCTTAGTCTGCTTGGTTTTAGTACCCCTAATTCTGTTCTGGCCCGTGTCTCAGCCTGGGAGTCTGAACCACTGGCAGGCCTGATGACTTGACATGAGGAACCCAAAGGCCTGCCGTGGAGGGAATGGCCCTCGTCACAATGGGCAAAGCCTTTCACTTCCTCAGCTTCCTTTCCCCAGGGATCTGGGCTGTGAAGGCTGCAAGTCTAGATGGAAGACAGGAGTGAGCTGGGGCTACAGTGAGACTCTCAGAGAGACTTTTTTCCTTTTTGTATTTTAATAAGACATATTCATGGTGTTGAAGATCTGTGCCATGCCTTTTTGTCAGAAGAGTTTGCAAAATTTTTCTGTCATTTCTTTCATTTGTTTCTATATAATCTATAAAGACTCAAAAGGTTCTGTACCTACCTTGTAGATAAGAAAACTGAGGCATGGAGATTTTGGAGACTTGCCTAATGGGCCAGTCTAAGCTGCTGTCTAAAGCCCTGTGTCTTCAGCTCTGGCCTCTTTGGTCTCAGTTGTTTGGTTCCTCTGGGGAGGACAGTCCTCCCATGCTGTTTTCTTGGCCCGTTGTGGCACAGGACCAGCTAGAGTCCGTGCTGGAGGTGCTGCACAGGCAGACAGAACAATACCGAGACCAACCACAGCACCTGGAAAAGATCACATGTCAGCAGAGACTCCTCCAGGAGGACCTCATCCACATCCGGGCAGAGCTCTGCAGGGAGTCCACGGTAGGTGGAGGGTGAAGAGGTGATAGGCACTTACCCTGGGGGCTGTATTCTCATCACCCTTGCTGTTGAGTTGAAGGCCAGGGGTGAGAACCTGTCGCTGCCTCCTGGTGGCAGGTTATCCCCTGGTGGCAGGATATCCAGGGGTATCATGTCTGACTCACCTCTCCTTCAGCTTCTTCCCATCAGGATAGTTGAGGGAGGGCCAGTTCTGTGGAGAAGTCTTCAGGCTGTAGTCTAGGCTGTGCACAGTGCGCTCCAGCATGTCAGCATTTCCGCTATTGCAGCTGTCAATCCAATGTGGTGCTGGCATTTCTACCAGACGGGGGAACCCGTTTTCGGGTAGGGAGCGAGCAACACAGGTAGCCAAGGTTACCTGTTTCCATCTCCTTTTCACCAAGATGCCTAAGCCTCTCCTTCCCATATACCTAGTAGTTATCAGGTTAGGGGGGGGGGAGGGTATTCTCGAGGGGACTGGGCTGAGGGGGACCTGGGGACCAGAAGTGTTTTCTTTGCCAATAGGAGATGGAAAATGCCTGGAATGAGTACCTGAAGTTGGAGAGGGATGTGGAACAGCTGAAGCAGACCCTGCAGGAACGACACAGAAGAACCTTTTTCTTCCAGGTGACCAAGAAAAAGAGTTGTCACCTCCCTCGGCTCCCTAACGTCCTATTAGGCTGTGAGCTTGCCAAACAGCTACCCCAAGCTCTCCCTTGGGGATTCCTTCTGCCATGATGAGAAGCTTCACCTCAGTTCCCCTGCTTCTTTGCTCTGAATGTCTGGCCCTCAGTGTTTGGGGAAGGGCTGGACCTTTAAAAGAGCAGAGGCAAGAGGAGCCCAGTTCAGGACCCATACCCACCTGGAGGGCATTTGGAATGCAGGGCAAGTTTCTCTTGGATTCTCTGGACAAGTGTAGGAAGTTTAGCCTCCTCTTGCTTCTGGCAGTCTCCTTGACCTGAGGAGAGAGTGTGAATTCAGTCCCTGGAGGGTCCTCTTCTCTCATCTATACTCATTTGTTTTTCTGGAGGCCAGGCTGGGTGACCCCCATTTCTGTGTCCTGTGGTCAATTTGGAAAAGGTGGCTTTAGCTTAAAGGTCAGGCCATTCTAGCTGGCCTGTGTTCTCCTATTGCAGTAGGCAGCAGGCTGCTGTCCCAACCCTCACGTTTTAAAAATGGAAAATGGCCTGCTTTCCAACTCTGCTTCAGGTCTATTTCTGTTTCAGGGCTCTAACATTGATTCCGTGTATTTATTTGAATCAGCAAGTATTCCTAGAGGTTTCTTGTGCACAGGACAGCATGCTATGCCACTCTGGGAGCTGGGCTTGCTAAGTAACGATGGAGTTCTGACCCAGATGTAGACTCAGATGTTGCCCTAGGAAGCCAAGGAACTTCTTTGGGGAGTCCCTCTTGCCCCCTATGGGCCTAATGTCATCCATCACTCAGGTGGTTCTGAGAGACCAGTCCAGGACACTGGGGAGTCTTGCCTCTGGTTCAAGGATGACCTTAGAGAATCCCCAGAGTATGCCGTTCTCCTGCTGCTATTCCTCCCGTAATACCCTTCACTGGAGATGGTCCGCCATTTGTAGTGTAACACTTGAACATTCTAAGTGACTGCCATTGGCAAAATCTTCCCAATGTTGTTTCTGGTTGTAGCTGAGGTTTATCTGTAGCCCATGGTTTTTGAGACAAGTCTCACTATATAACCCAGGGGTTGAACTTGAAACCCTAACACACAAATCCCCCCCTCTGTCTCTGTCTCTGTCTCTGTCTCTGTCTCTGTCTCTGTCTCTGTCTCTGTCTCTCTCTCTCTCTCTCTCTCTCTCTCTCTCTCTCTCATTTCATCATGTATCCCAGGCTGGCCTCCAGCTATGTAAAGCAGGACTGCCTCTGCCTCCTGAGTGCTGGCAGTAAGGGTGTGCACCCTCACACCAGGCATCCTAAGAGTTCTCTAGAGCCGTGTTGAGTCCATTCTCATGTTGTGCAGCCATATTCCAGAATTTTCCATCTTGTGAAACTGAAAATCTGTTCTCTTCCCCTCGCCTTGCCCGATTCTATGGCTTCCCCTCTTCTCTTCCCTCTCTGTCTCTGTTAAATTGACGGGGTGTTGCGTACATCATTGGGGTTGAGTCTTGTGCTGCTCAAGACAATTTATTTAAGTTAGCTAAAGTAGGCCAGGTGGGCTGACGAACACTGCTCCCAGCATTCCTCACTGGTCTGCTTCTCAAGGAGACTGAGTAGGCTTGGTGCTTGCCCTGGCCGGTTTTCAAAGGTTTTTACCACCCCTGTGGTGAGGGACTATGACTGAAGAGGTATCATAAATCCTCAGAAGTGAGGAGCCAAGAGCCTGAACCAGCCCCTGTCTTTCCCAGGAGAAGTCTCAGATACAGAAGGATCTGTGGAGGATCGAAGATGTCATGGCAGGCTTGAGTGCGAATAAAGAGAACTACAGAGTCCTGGTGGGGTCTGTCAAAAATCCAGGTAAGACAGCAACCATCTTCCTGAGTGCAGGGACAGGGTAGGCATGCGGGATGGCTCTCAGAGAGGCTGCGTCTCCATGGTGAAACAGCGTCTTGATTCCACCGTGTATTGTTTCTGTTCATCCTCGCAGAAAGGAAAACGGTGCCTTTGTTCCCTCACCCGTCCGTGCCTTCACTCTCTCCAACTGACAGCAAGCCAGCCCTGCAGCCTAGTCCTCCCACCAGCCCTGTGCGGACACCTCTGGAGGTCCGACTTTTCCCGCAGCTGCAGACCTACGTGCCATACCGACCTCATCCGCCCCAGCTGAGGAAAGTGATGTCCCCTCTTCAGTCACCAACCAAGGCGAAGCCTCAGGTGGTAAGCTGTGGCAGCTAGGGCCAGAGGGCATGCTGTGTGACTTCCTGCAGAGAGAGGAACAAGTATAAGGCACAGACAGCAGACCAAAGAAATGACATCACCCCAGTACCTGGTGACCCATGCATTGATTGGGCTTCCTTAAGCAGGGTTGACTTACAGCAACTTGAGTGACGCCCCAACATCCGCATCGTTGCAGAGTCCACCCCAGCTTGGGTGATGACTCTTAAAAGCTGCACTGAGAGAATCACTGTTTTCAATCCGTCTTGAGATCTTTTTCTCCAACCCCAGCAGCCTTGCTGGACAGGAGGCTGCCCATGTGCTGAAGGGTGCCTGGCAGCCAGAGTTAAAAACAGCGCTGAAGGTACTAGCCTGTCCTCAGCTTTTCACTGGGTTCTTAAAAAAGTTCATCATTTTTCTGAGCTACCTCAGTTTCCTCTTAGAAGAACAGTCAGTGCTTTTAACTGTTGACAGCCCCGGTTGTTACTATTTCGTATGGTTGTTTGCTTGTTTTAGACATTTATATTTGTGTAACAGAAGTATCTGTCCTGGGGCTGGAGAGATGGCTAAGCATTTAAGAGCATTAATTGCTTTTCCAGAAGGCTGGGGTTCCATGCCCAGCACCCGTATGACAGCTAACACTGACTGTAACCCCAGTTCTGGGGCATCTGATGAGCTGTCTTCTGGCTTCCATGGACTCCAAGAACTTGTGCATAGACGTCCATCAGGCAAAACACCCGTAGATAGAAAATAAAAATAAATGTTAAAAATGTTTAAAGAAGGATATAGGGGCTGGAGAGACAGCTCCGTGATTGAGAGCACTTGCTGCTCTTCCAGAGGGTGGAAATTTTGTTCCAGCACCAGTGTCAGGTGGCTCACAGCCATCTATAACTCCAACTCCAGGAGATCTGAAGCCTCTGGCTTCCAAGGGCATTTGCACATACCCACATGCGCCTGAATATAGTGTGAAATCCTTATTAAAATATCCATTTTGAAGATAACATGTAAAAATGTGACAGTGAGCTGGATGGTGTACATGCCTTTAATCCCAGCACTTGGAAGGCAGAGGCAGGGGAATCTCTGTGAGTGTGAGGCCAGCCTGGTCTATAGAGAGAGTTCCAGGACAGGCTCCAAAGCTGCAGAGAAACCCTGTGCAGGTGAGCAGCTTGGTTCAGCAGAGTTACCCCTCAAACCGTGAACCTTGAGTTCTTCAGAGGGACAGAGATTTAGTTAAGTTCCTTCTAGATTTGCCTGAGGAAACAGAATTCCCTCACTACTGATTAGAATATAAAAAGAGGACCACAGGTCTTGGCTTCCGTGTCTGCATCCCTAAGCACTTGAATTAGGCCAGGAGAGAACACAGCTCCTCTGTGTGTTCCCCACTGTGCATACAGGGATCCCACACTGTTGCTTGGCTTATTTCTTTAATTTACTATCATTTTAAAAAGCATTTACAAAATGGTCCCAGCATCGTGGCACATACCTTTAATGCTGGCAGAGGCATGTGGATCTCTGAGTTCCAGGCCAGCCAGGGCTACGCAGAGAAACCCTGTCTCAAAACACCTAAATAAATAAATAAATAAATAAATAAATAAATAAATACAGGATTGGCTAATTTCAAAGAACACAGAAACAAGGGCCACAAAAAGTGTCTAAGGGGGTTGGAGAGATGGCTCAGTGGTTAAGAGCATTGCCTGCTCTTCCAAAGGTCCTGAGTTCAATTCCCAGCAGCCACATGGTAGCTCACAACCATCTGTAATGAGGTCTGGTGCCCTCTTCTGGCCTGCAGGCATACATGTAGACAGACTATTGTATACATAATAAATAAATAAAATATTTTTTAAAAAAGTGTCTAAGTGTCAAACTGGAGAAAGGAAGGGGGAGCTGAGGAAGGCAGGCGGTGATGGCGCACATCTTTAATCCCAGCACTGAGTTTGAGGCTGAGGCAGGTGGATCTCTGAGGCCAGCCTAGTCTATATAGTGAGTGCAAGGATAGCCAGAGCTACATGAAGAAACCCTTTCTCCAAAAACCAAAAGAAAATAAAAGGGAGGAAGGAGGTACAGCAGCCATCTGGATGAATTTTCATGGCGATCAGGCATGGTCTCCTAGCATGAAGGAGCCACAGCCCCTAAGAACCAGCCGAGCACATCGAGTACCAAGGAGCCTGGTCTTGTTCCCTGCCTCCCAGGAAGTGAACAGCAGTGTCAGAGCCAGAAAGAAGTAGAAACTCTGTAAGAATGTTTATTTCCCAGAGAAAGAGCAGGAGGGTGCAGGCTGGTGAGCCGATCCCCACACAAAGAACCCAAGTCCAGGAGTCTGCTCAGGCTGACCACATGGGGCTGGTAGATGTCTCTTCCCCAGGGTGCTGTTATCATCTCAGGAGAGATGGTCAGGCTCCCACCTCCTCTGGAGGACATGGGAAGCCGGTGTCATTTGACACTGCCAAAGATGGAGAGCCAGGACACCAAGTGCAGGACCTGGGGACACACTTACTGGGTAACACTTTGAAACTAGAAAGCATGTTGGATCAAAAGCAGTTGGAGTGGAAGTGACCCCGGAAGCTTCCTTGGCTGGGATGGTTATGTGACCCTGAAGTGGTCAAGCATGTGGCAATGCTGAGTAACAGCCAGCCCTCCTCCCCACTTTAATACCATCCCTCTGGACACGGGGTCTGGTTCTCTTTCTGAATAGGAAGATGAGGCACCCCCCAGGCCACCACTTCCTGAACTCTACAGCCCAGAGGACCAGCCCCCAGCTGTGCCACCTCTGCCTAAGGAAGCCACCGTCATACGGCACACATCTGTGCGGGGCCTCAAGCGACAGTCTGACGAAAGAAAGAGGGACCGGGAGCAGGGCCAGTGTGTGAATGGCGACTCAAAGGTGAGCCGAAGAAGATGGAGCATGCCCACGGAGTGTGGGGAGGGTGGTGTGACACCAGTGACTTCATAGCCTCAGACTCTGTCCGCAGGTGGAGCTCCGGTCCTATGTGAGCGAGCCAGAGCTGGCCAGCCTCAGTGGGGACGTGCCTCAGCCCTCCCTGGGCCTCGTGGGCTCTGAGAGCAGGTACCAGACACTGCCAGGCAGAGGTAAGGCAAGACCCTTCTGGAGCCCTTCAGGGTCCACACTATACCACTCATAGCCCCTACCTGGGCCTCAGATCCTAGGCCTCAGTCTGCAGCTTGGGTCTAACTGTGACTGCTGAGAAGGGAGGACTGGCCCGACCTCCTCCCACCCACAGATCTCTCTTTTCTTTTCGAGTCGTCTGTTTTTCCTCCCTTTCCTATTTCCAGGAGCAACAATAGTGATTGCCCTAAAATCGGACACTGTCGAAGATTTTATATTAGCCCCATATTCAATAGCACTGGTAGGCAGGGGCTGTTATGACTCCCATTTTAGAGATCAAGAAACTGAGTCAGGGGCTGGAGAGACGGCGTAGTGATTAAAGGGTGCTGATTACTCCAGAGGACCCGGTTCAGTGCCCAGCATCCATGTGGTGGTTCACAACTGTCCATAGCTCACCCATGTGGCATACAGATATATATGCAGGCAAAACACTGATCCACATAAAATAAGTAAAAAAGAAAGAAACTGAGGGTGAGAGAAATTAAACAAGTGCAATTAGCTGATCACAGAGGAAGCTGCCAGTCCTGAGCTCTGGCTCCAGATCGCTGTGGACTGCAGGCTGGAGCACTAAGAACCATCAGCCCTGAGGCCACCTCAGATCTGTGTCAGCTTGAGACTTGGTCCGTCCTTTCTTACACTCATGGTCTCCTTAACTGGGCTCCCTGCTCATCCCTAGCTGGATTCCCCACTGAAGCAGAGGGGTGAATGTTCTTGTACCCCCCTTTTCACACAAAGCTTCTACAGGGACAAAGGCCACCCTCAGGCCAAGCTTCCTCTCTTCCTGGGGTGCCCCATCTGGGCTCAAGGAGAAAAAAGCAAGACAAGTGGGTTATGAGTGGAGCCTGCTGGCCCTCAGGAGAGTGGGGTGGCTAGGGAAGGCCTGGGAGCGCTGAACCATATACCACAGCCACTTGATTCTCCTTCCTTGCTTAGGGCTCTCGGGCTCCACATCCAGGCTCCAGCAGTCATCCACCATTGCTCCCTACGTCACTCTCCGGAGGGGTCCGAATGCCGGAAACAGCAGTATGACCTTCTCTGTAAGTGGCCAGGGATGTGGAGGGACTCACACTCAGTGGGAGGGGCCTTGGGGTGTGCAGTGACCTGGGAGCCTTGGGGAATTTAGGGTTCTGTCACCCCCTTGCTTACCAAGAAAGCCACTACCCTGCCATCTCTATTTCCCTTTTGGTTTTTTGAGACAGGGTTTCTCTGTGTGTAGCTCTGGCTATCCTGGAACTTGCTTTGTAGATCATAGAGATCTGCCTGCCTCTGCCTCCCAAGTGCTGGGATTAAAGACGTGCCATCACCACCGGGCTGCCATCTCTATTTTCTGATGGCTACCAAACCTGTCAGGGTCATGAGAAGTCCCAGAAGCCTGTACCCTATGTCCGTCCTGGAGTACAGATTATTGGCTCGGTTGGATAGGCCCGGCCTCAGCGTCTGCCTCTGCCCAGAAGACTCATTCGGGTGGGGGCACTGGGTACTGAGAGGAAGTGATTTTCTGTGACTGACACGAGCCCGTGTAGTGTACTGCAAAGAGAGGCTAAGCGGGAGAGGGCAAGGGTGCAGTTCAATTGGTAGACTATGTGCCTAGTATGTACAAGGCCCTGGGCTTGACTCATCCCCAGCGCTGCAGAAATCAGGTTTGATTGCCAACATCGGCAATCCAGCACTTGTGAGGTACAGGTATGAGGATCAGGAGTTTAAGACTGTCCTCAGCTACAGAGCGAACCTGAGGCCAGCCTGGGCTTCCTGAGACCCTGTGCTAAAAGCAGGAAGCAGCTGTGCTTCTAGCTCCGTCCACTCTGCGTCTCACCTCTTTTGCAGAGACCTAAGAGTGCCTTGGAGCGCCTGTACTCAGGGGACCACCAGCGGGGCAAGATGAGCGCGGAGGAACAGCTGGAGCGGATGAAGCGACACCAGAAGGCCTTGGTCCGGGAGCGCAAGCGGACCCTGAGCCAAGGAGAAAGACCGGGCGTGCTCTCAGCTAGATACCTCAGCCAGCCACTGCCTGGAGATCTTGGCTCAGTATGTTAGATGGGGCTGGGACAGAGGCCAGAGTTTCCCCCAAGTCCCCCAAGTGTACACATGTCACCTCCCAGGGTGACCTACATGGTTGAAAGAACATCCTGAGGGGCTGTTTGTCCACGACCCCAGCTGCACGTGTGAGCTGGCCAGAGGATGACCCGGAATCAGAGTAATAGGGAGGTTTCTAGCGACAGAGGTCTCGCCCATCCTCCAAGCTAAGTGGGAGGGGCCTCCCAGCTGAATTAAGGACTTGAGAATGTAGGATTGAAGGAGGAGAGGAAGATGGTGAGGAAAGAGATTATGTGCAAGTCAACCACATCCAGCAGATACTGGAGCCGGGGGAGGCAATTGACTAAGGAAGGGTTGGTGCCCCAACCCTGAGGTGCTGGTTGCCTCCCACAACCTGTGGTGCTAAGCACTCAGGTACTCAGGAGGGCTGGGGAGCTCGGTGCTGCCTCCTGATGGCTGGTGTGCTATCCACCCACGGTTGCCTTAGGCCCATTGTGGAGACATTCCATTTGGCGTTTGGGTTTGGAGCCCCAGTTCCCCAGCCCTCTAGCCCGTCTGCTCTCCCTAATTCATTGCACAAGCTCTCTCGCTTCTAGTGTCGCCGCTCACTGCCTCTAATCCTGCCTGATTGTCTTCTCAGACGCTCCAATTGGCACGGGCCTTCTCTAACCGGCCAGTGCTGTCTCTGACCAGGCTTGTGTTAGCAGCTGTCTCCCTAGCCTAGCGGACATCTCTAGGTGTGACTTTCTTTCCACCGCCCTGCTTTGTGTAGGCCAGCTACTGATAATGCGTCCACCCCAAAGCTGCTCTGTGGGGACCATAATCATTAGCAGAGGGCGGGGCATTGGGAATTTATCAGATTCCATGCCTTACACTGGACAGCAGACCTGAACGTTAGAGAGTGAGTACACATGTGTGTTCTAGAGTCTGGGGCCATTTGGTTTTAACTCCTCTGATCCCATCACACTATTCCTTATGGAAAAGCCTTTGCAATTCAGATGTAGTAACTGAATGAATAACAAAGCAAACTGTGTGCAGAGGGCCTCTCCAAATGTCTGTCACCAAAGGACTGGAATAATGTCTTTAAAAGCTACAAACCCATTAACTTTGAGCTTTATAAGTAAGTATCATATGGGGTAACCCTGACTTTCTATAACATGCTGTCGGAAATGTAGAGAGTATCTCAGAACCGGAACTCCAATACCTTGTAATTTTTCTTTGGAAAGGAAAAAAAAAGGCTTGTGTAAGTCTCATCAACGCCAATAAACAAACATATTGCTTTCTATGACGGATTGGCGTGGTTCTTCCCCAGGGCACTTTGCAGAGTGTGGTGAGCTTTTGCTGTTTGTGGAAGCAATCAGGCTGGGTTTAAATGAGGACTTGTCTCTATTTGAGCACTTGTGAGCGTGTAAGAAAATGTGTGTTTCCTTTGTTAATCAGTAAATTTATTCCTGAACTTTAATGGCCTAATTCTCCCCAACTGTAATTGGAAAACTGGATTGGTTTGACATGGAGACCTTGAGCTTGTGCATGAATGTGTGGACCGCGCTGATATGGCCACGGGCTTGGGGATGGGATGGGTTTGAAGCATCCATGGCTGCTAGGGCCTTGTGAGGTAAATGGAGTGAGACAGAGGCAATGGCCTGATGCCTAAGTATCCATCCTTCCACCCTCATAAGGGCAGCCCTTAAGGTCAGAGGCCTGGCGGAACAAGAAGCCATCTTGGAGCTGGGCAGACATTCTTGGGTAGATTTTCCCCTCCTGTGAAGAGACTGTTGACACAGAGTTGCCACTGTGAAATGGCCTCGGGGCAGGTGCATCTGGCCTTACATTTAGTGTCAGGTTTAGTTCCCTTTCTAGTTTAAGGAAAATGTCTTATCTCATTGGTTACCATTTTCCCCAGCCCTTTGCTACACTGGCTGCCAGCCAACTCCTGGGAACTGATCAGAACTCTACCCCTGCTGGGATACAGGTCCCTGCACTCCGAATCAGCCCTGCTGAGAGCTCTGTAGAGAGGTCATCCCCAAGAGCTTGAAGGCTGTGAAGGACTTGGTTTTTTCCCATTGTTTGTGCTCCTGGAGTGTACGGCTCCTAAGCCAGAAGGCCTTGGGGAGGAGAATTTGGATGGGGCAGGTCATTCTGGGCTCACCCTTTTAGACCTGGGAACGTTTTAGATACCTGTGGACCACTGTAAGGAAAAAGTCATGGGTCTTCCGCCAGTTCCCTAAGGATGCACATTTGAACACTCAGGTCTTAGAACACGGCCAGCAGTGTGGAAGAGACCACAGGACCGAGCAGAGGCCTTGTTTTCAGTGACACACACGGCTCCGACACTTGCTTAATGTCTGAAAGGTCCATCTCATGGACACCAGGCCTCGGGGTCCTGTGTGGCTCATTGATGAATCGGGAAGTGAGGTTAACCCTCTCCTCTGTTGCTAGTGGAAGCGAGAACAAGATTTTGACCTGCAGCTGCTGGAGCGGGCTGCTCAGGGGGACAGAAAAGACAGAGAAGACGGCTGGCTAAAAGTGCAGGCCACACCTGTCATGGAGTTGGACCTAGAGCCACAAGACTATGATTTGGACATCAGCAGAGAGGTGAGGATGGGGGCTTCTTTCACACTTCCGAGAAGCTATGGAATTAAGGCTTCTAGCCTGACTTGCAGTCTCACTCAGTCAGGGGTTCGACTTCACTGTGGATCAAGAAGGTGCATACATGAATAGCGCCTTGAGACCATAAAGTCATCAGCGTTTTCTAGTAATGTTTAAGCTGGTTTCTCTATTTGGGAGCAAATTGTACCCTGTGCCCTTAATGGAGGTGTGGGGGGATTAAGTGATTCAGCATGTTCCCAAGAGGTTTAGAGAATGTTCCCCGGATCATTAGTGGTGGCCTATGCAAATGGCCTGTTAGGCAGACTGTAGTTATCATACATGGCGTGAAATACAGGGCCGGTCTGAAATGTCACAGAAGACATTGCCAGTCGGGAGTTGAGAGTTTTGGTTTTGAATGCTTCTAGTGCCCTCTAGTGGCTCAGTTGCCTCATGACAGGGCAGGCCAAGGAAAACATGGCAAGAGAAAGGAAAGGGGCAAGTGCCCAAGTAACAATTAGTCTCTAGACATCTCTGTTCACCATTGGTCTGTGGCAGTGTCTGCAGCTGCTTTCATTCTTTGCATCCCTAGCCCTGGGGTGGCACACAGTTGGTATGCTGTACATCTTTGCAGATGGAAGACGGCTGTATGAACTTTCAGTGTCCCCAAACCTTTGTATTGGGACTTGGCCTACTGCATTTTCCCCGTGTGTAGCATGAGTTTGAGTGGGACTCTTAAGTCTTCCACAGGTCTGTTTGACACGAGACAGTCTCAAGTACCCTCCCCGGGGGGTTGCCACTGTTATAGTGTGTGTGTGTGTGTGTGTGTGTGTGTGTGTGAACCTGGCTCTCACATTTGCCGAGCACACAGAACTGCTCAGCCCTTCTGTCTCCAACAGGCAGGGCAGATCCATTTACAAGCTGGTTCTGCCAATGGTTAGGGTTTCATGAGGGAGGGGGCTCTGAGAACAAAGAACAGTGTAGGTAAGTTGATGCTTGAGTTACTGCATTCTTCATTCTTGCTCCATGGCCAGCCTCCTGCCACCAGGCCTTTCTCTGACACCCTTAGCAGCGGAAGCCAACAGGCTGGACTTTTTCATTCACAAAGAACCTCCATGTGCTGCCTTGGCAATGCAAGGATGCCCTCTGGTGTCCTAATTGGCCCGCTAGCCCAGGGAGAATGTTTTTCTTTATCTCTAACCTAAATCCTGCTACAATGCAATCCACTTCCTTCCTCTAGATCTGTCCTGGTTGGGAATAGCAGATATTTTTTGCCGCCTTTTAACAAAGCGAAGGGCCATGTGGGTTCATTTCTGTTACTGAAACTGAAATCAACCCAGTCAAGGGCAAAAAAAACCTAACTTGCCTTGAGGCGAGTTAGGTTATGTTTTTGAAAGTCACGGCCTTCAATGGCCCTAAAAGTGCGATCAGATCTTTTCAGAGCTTTAGAATGCTGGTGAAAACAGGGACTCTGACTGGTTGGTGCTGGCAAGATTACCTTTACATTTATTTATTTATTTACTTACCTACTTATTTATTTTAAATTTAAAATTCAGTGTGTATGTGTGCGTGTGTGGGCACCTGTGCTTGTATACCGTCTACCCTTGAGTATAGAGGTCAGAGAACAGCCTGTTGACTGGTTCTTTCCACCATGTGGGGTCCCCGAGATCAAACTTGGGTCATCGGGCTTGGCAGCAAGTACCTTTACCTGCTGAGCCTTCTGTCTCTCTGGCGCAAGTTAAGCATCCCTGTAGGAAAGGGTGCTGGGGGGGCTGAGACTCTAGGTAGTATGAGGGGAGAGCTCTTGTCACCTGGGAACTAGAGAATCACTTCTGTCCTTGGGTGACACCCCCTAAGGTTAGGGATGAAGTGCCTCTAGGGCCCTGTCCCAGAGGAAAGGATGAGAGAGCCTTTAGTAAAGGTGACAGAGATAAACCGTGCAGAGTCAGGCTGAGGGGAAGAAGGCAGAGAACTGAAAAGAGGGTCACCTGTCTTCATCCACTGACACTTTTATTGAGGTGAGTGGAAAATCCACTCTGCCCAGAAGTGTGGAAATGACCTTGCTTATCAGCCAGTCGCATGCTGTTATTGATGGCTTAAACTTTCCAGTCAGCGCAGTCTGATCTGTATGCCCCCAGACTCAGAAGTGTGTTTGAGACAGGAAATGGTTTCCCATCAGCTTTGGTGGTCTCTCTGCTGCCAGACTGTAGATCATTTTGTTTGTTTGTTTGGTTGGTTGGGTTTTGTTGCTTTCTGTTTCGAGACAGGATCTTTCTAGGTAGCCCTGGCTGGCCTGGGACTCACTCTGTAGTCTGGAGATCCACTTGTCTCTGCCTCCCTAGTGCTGGGGTTAAATGCATGTGCTACAGCCCAGGTCTGAAGCGTTTTTTGCAGGGCAGGGACTCCTCTCCCTCTGTCCATTGATCCAGCACTCATCCATTACGGAGGGTTTTCTGAAGGGCGTCCCGTCTCTGAATTACAAAGGGCAGAAGAAAAGCCCTTAGCTGTTAAGGACACTGGAGCTCCCGCTGAGTGGGTATGGCTGGAGTCAGAACACTGCAGCCTTGGGTGTAGCACTAGGGATCTCGTCCTTCCCGTGAGATGCTCTCCGTGTTGCTCGCCTTGCTGTTCCCCTTGGCCTCTAGAAAGCTGTCTAGTGTAGCAGGAAGTACAGCATTGCTTTGGTGTGAGACCCAGGGTCAAGTCGTTGGTTCCACAGCTGGTTCATTTGATGATCTTAGCAAGTTTCCTCACCTCTGTGGACTCTGTTTGCTTTGTCACAGGGTGGGAGGGTGGAAAAGACAGATCTCAGATCAGAGCATCTGAGGTTATCCTCCATTCTACCACCCGATCCTCCTCCCAGCTGTCTAAGCCAGAGAAGGTCTCCATCCCCGAGCGGTACGTGGAACTGGATCCCGAGGAGCCACCCAGCCTTGAAGAGCTGCAGGCACGGTACCGGAAGGCTGAGAAGATCCGAAATATCCTCGCTCGTTCAAGGTCAGCCCTTGCTTGCTCAACCCTAGAAGTCTCACAAACCCCGTCCAGGTGATAGCTCAGCCGTGGGAGAGCCAGGCTAGGCTGACTGGTCAATATTTTGCTAGGCTTTATTTCAAGTGAATTCCTCTGATTGAAGAGGCAGGTTCTCAGGTGAGCATACTCCCCCAGCCGTCTGAAGGCTCTGGAGAACTTGTACAGGGTCCCTGCCCAACGTCCATGCCTTCAGATTTGTCCCCAGTGATGGGCAAGTGTGGGCCATCAAGCCAGACCTTAGTGAAGTAGACTCAGTTGAGGTCACCTCCAATGATGGTTCTTTTAACATTTGTGCCCATATTGCGTTGTAGATCCATAGCTGGGCCAGGCCAACCCAGGAGGTGCTAGACTAGGGCCTGTGTTCCTCACACAGACTCCATAGATGGGGTTCAGTTTGTCCTAAGGGCACTGGGGGTTTTACATACTTCCTGAACCCTGAGTATTGGACCCAAGGAAGTGAATTCTCTGGCCTGTGAGCCTCCCTTTCAGAGTTCCATTACCCACTTCATATCTGGATGGATCAGGAGTCTCCAGCCTGCAAGGAGGAACGGAGCTATGTTCACTGTGGGTTTCCCGGGACGTAGACACTCTTGTCTGGGAAGAAAGGAGGCAACGCACATCTGATGCCCCCAAAGTGTTGTAGACGCTTCTCCCCACAGCCGGGGAGACACTCCACAGGGGAGGCTGAGGGCTAGGGTGCGGAGACTCACGCTTTCTCTCTGTCCTCACAGCATGTGTAACCTGCAGCCCCCAGGCCAGGACCGCAACAGCCTGGCCGACCTGGACTCGCAGCTGCAGGAACAGGAGCGGATCATCAACATCTCTTATGCCCTGGCCTCAGAGGCCTCTCAGCGCAGCAAGCAGGTAGCAGGTAAGGCTGTGGGTGTTGACCTTCGGGGACAGTTCCTGCCGGCTGCTCCCAGTATAACTTGTCCTAGAGCCAGGAAGTTAGCAGATAGTAACAGTTAAGGGTATGTTCTCTGTCCTGCCTGACCCAAGCAGGAGAAGAGCTGCCTCTCTGCTCTGTATTGGCCATCTCTGAACCAAGGGGGCAGGGCTCGAGTTTCTTTCCGTAGGAAGAAGGGAACAGAACTGATGCCGCAGTGGGTGTTTCTCGTGGGGCAAGAACTCCTGCCTAGAAACCCTTCCTTGGTCCTCACGCCAGAGCCACTCAACCCTGCCAGTTACCCTGTGGCACAAAGCAGGACTCAGGAGCCAAGGCTTTGCCAGCCTAGCCAAAAGAATATCACCATGGTGTAGAAGCAGCACACAGCTGTGTGGTGTGTGAAGGCTGCTTTAAGCTCATGCCTGGGATCCCAGCTGTCAGGAAGCTGAGGCAGGAGAATTGCTACATGCATGCTATAGGCTTGGCTAGCCTGAACTACAGAGTGAGACCCTATCACAAAGAAAACAATACAAGAGCCTCTCTTCCTTCACCAGCATCTGCCTCCCTGTGGTATCCTCACGGTCCATCCCGTGTAGTTTGTCCGTGGATGCAGAGGCTGTTGTGTGTCTCTATGGCGCCTCTGGCCAGGTGTACTTCACAGATGGATGGTCAGAGGACCCAAAGTGGTGCCTTCTCTCTACCGGCCCTCTAATCCAATTGACCAAGTGGCTGCTGGCCCTGAGGAGTCTGGTGTGGGAAGCAGCTTTGACATCACTTCGGGAGGCCCCATGATTGACTAATGAGGAGAGACCTATTCTGTCCCCATACCCTGACCCTCCAGAGTTCCAGAAATCCAGCCTTGTGTGTTAGCTTACATCCATAATCCCAGCTAGGGAGATGCAGGCAGGAGGATCAGGGCTCCAAAGTCATCCTTGATTACAGCGAGTTCAAGCCCATCATGGGCCACACTGAGGTCGTGTCTTGAAACCAAGCAGACTAAGCCAGCCTCTGAGATCTCTGCTGTCCCTGCTCTGTCCGAGACACATAAAGGGGCTGGAAGCGGTCTGTGTTGCTCTGGGACTGGGACTCAGGCAGACCCTCTTGCTGGTGTCCCCAGAGCTCATTTCGGCAGCCTCCGAGCCCCTCCTGTGAGGCTGCCCCTCCTCTCCAGGCACCCTCCTCACAGCTGCGCTTGCTCTCACTCTGCCCCCACCACGTCTTAGGTGCTGCTGGAGATGAACCCAGGGCCTCTGTACGCTAGGCTGGCCCACTGTCACTGAGCTACGTTCCTGGCTTGTTCTCACTCCTCCCACACAGCTGATGACCTTAGCCCTGACACCTTCTGCACTACTCCCCAATCTATACCTTTCTTCACTCTTGCTCCCTCCCCTGAATCAGAAACTACAGGCAAGCTGTGCCCCATGGATCTGCTCCCAAGAGCAGCCATCAGTTGGGGGCAGCGGGGCCAAGCCACACAGTCCTGCCAAGCAGGGCATATGGTGGTGTGGGTGAACAGGTCACTCTAATATACCGTGTGATTCCTGTGTGCTCTGTCTAGTGCAGCAGCTGGCCCTCCTCCCGCCTAAAGCCCCCCTGTCCGCCAGGACGGTGCCACCTTACCCCCCCTTAAGCAACGGACTGCACTACACCTTTGTCTAACACCTTCCAAGTAAGAGCCCTGCCTGGCTGTCTTGCTGCTGTGCACCCCGTAGTCTGAGCATGCCCCGCCCGCCTTCCCGCTGCTGCTGAGCTGACTGCAATGACACCTGCTGCTGCTTCCTTCCATTGGCACTGCGGCCGCTGGGGGGGGGGGGACCTGCTATATGGTAGGTGGCTGGAGGTGATTCGCATTTTAGTATTCTGACCTCAGGCCTCAACAGAGGCTGCCATTAAAGGTGCTGTCGTGCTGAAATATCTGCGTGGTTTTCAACCCTTTGGCTTTATTACTGTGTGGTTGAGGTACAAGGGAAAAAAATGCAAAAAAAAAAAAGACTTCTCATATTTTAAGTCAGTTTAGGATTTTGTGTTGGGCTGCATCCTCAGCCGTCCTGGATCACATGTATTCTGTGGGCCATGGATTGGACATGTCTGCTAGGGCCCTTGCCGCTCCTGCCCGTTTCTCTTTCCCACGGCAGCTTGATGCCCCAAAGAGCAGTATAGGGCACACTGCCAGTCTCCAAGGAAAAGAAGAATCACATCTCACTCTTTGGTGGCCTTCCCAAAGGGACTGAAGAACAGTTAAGTCCAGAGTTACAGAAGGCAAGCTGAGACCCCGAGGGGTCTCCTCATACAGCAAGGCCTGAGACTGTATCAGTCACTGAGTGTCTTAGGGAAGAGACAGATGCAAGTCCAGGACCACAGTCCGTCGAGATGCTTGGTATAACTCCACTAAGTGAGTGTCTGACCCAGACAGGAAGGAGCCCCCCGGGAGCCAGTAGGCCAGTAACCATTAGCTGTGGAGTGATTTTATGGCCTGGGGCAGCTGCCCCGTCTGTATCCAAACCTGGACCACAGAGGTCACACCAGAGTCCCTCACAGTCTCTTGCTGTCTCTTCGCAGAGTTCCCGTCTGTACCCTAACTGGGTTATGGTTGACCTTGTTGAGGGACTACTACCTGCTAGCCATTGTGTTGAGTATCTCCTGATGCTCACAACAGCCCCGTGACGCTCTTCTCTCCACGTGTAGATGAGGAAACGAGGCCCAGACATCTGAGGGACTTCCTAAAGAGTTGAAACGCGCGTGTCAGGGTGCAGACGCTTTTGGTGTGAACCCACAACTTACATTCTCCATGACTGCTGGCTAGCGAGCTCATCTGGGCCATCCCGGAAACTCCGTGGGTCTGCAGAAGAGGGTGCAGGGGACATCACTTTGCACTGGGCCCTCCAGCTTTGGACTGTCCCTACTTTAGAGCCTGCAGCCAGCCAGTCCGAGAGCAGGAGGAGATGAGGTGGCTTGGGTCTACCATGGCCCACAAGAGGGGCAGAGCAGAGGAACGTCATGAAAGGCTCCAGCCATGTCCTTTATAAAGTCCTACAGGACTTGCCAGGGCCATGGTTGTGTTTTCTTCTTAGAGATCTAAGCAGGTAGAGGTGCCAGGGAGAGGCTCCGTTCACCCTGGTTTTCCAAGCCCCTGTAGCCTTGTGCTAGGACTGAGATGCTCTCTCCAGAGCTTAGCTGTGCCTCTTCCTCTCATAGCACCACAGGCAGGTTAAAAGCACTCTGTTAGGTTAAAAACATGAGAAAAGAATAAAAATAAATAAAGCAAGCAAGTGAGGTCCCGTAGGCTTCGCTCTCTGATCTTCCAGAGAATGAAGTGTAGAACCATTAACTACCCTAGGGGTTTGCCCAGGTCTTGGCCTACTGCAGAGGACAAATTTATGAACTTGAACTTAAAGTTAGAAGAAAAAAAAAAAAAAAACAGCGCACTGGGTCCTAGAAGCAAAGGTCCCTTGACAGCGGCCGCTTTGCCCACATCCCCTGCTCTCGTACTCCATCTGCCAGCCCATTATGTGTGTGCACAAACATGCCCACTATGAGGGCAGAAGCAAAGGTCTGCCAACTTCTCATTGTCTCTTGTGCTTTTTCCAGCCCAGGCAGTAGCAGACCCATAATCCAGTGTGCAGAGGAGAAGCCTGGACCTGGGGGCCCAGCTCAACCAGCATCTTCATGAAATATTGTCTCCTCTGCCCAGTGGAAACCCTTCCAGCTGAACAGGGCTCGCGCTGGAGGAGAGAAGAGCCCACCCAGCATGGTGGGTGCAACATGGAACAAGGGTTCCGTCCCAACACAAGCCCATTGTTTCGGTCCAGAGTCCTTCCTACAGATGACAGAAGCACTTTTAATACACGATGTGAAATATACTGTATTTTAGGATCAGAATGTATTTTATATGCTCACCTCAAGGTCTGAGTGGCTGAAAGGTGAGCCTGCAGGGTTTTGTAGCCACAATAGGGATTCAGGTACTGCGGGGGGGGGGGCATAGTGGGTGGGGAGAAGCGCAGGACAGGCAGGGACCATTCCCACTGCCCACGAAGCCAGAGAGCGGCTGGATTTGGGGATGTGCTTCCTGTGGGTTCCAGCATGAGGCTTGTTACCATGCTCCCCAGAAAGTGAGGAGCAGTTGACTGCCGAGGTCAGTACCCCTGAGCTGAGGCCCAGCTTTGGAAACTCCACCGGGATGGCCCATGGAGCCTGTCTGGGCCTTGGTGCTGACTGAGGAGCAACCACGTATGTTCAAAAGTGGTGGCTTCTTCAGCCTGTCATGAAGCAGTGAAGTTCCCTCAGCGAACAGTTCTCAGAAAAACAGAAGCCACTGTGAAGTGGAAATGGGAGATGTGTTGTAGCAATAAACTCCACACTGGGTGGAATCTGCTTACAAATGCCTAACCTACCGCCATCCCTCCAGCCAGGTGGGACTGAGGGACCTCAGCTGCCTGCTGTGGGGAAACCCGGGACAGCCTCCCTGGGACTGGTGAGGAGGGCAGGCAGAACAGGGCACAGGACTTTGACCTGACTCTAGCCCAGCTGAGGAAGAGGTGACCATGCCAGACACAGTGTTTTTGGCCCCATATTTAACTTGTCTCCTGGTTTTCTACATACAGGAAGCAATGGTTGAAAGAAAACAAACTAAAAACCCCTCCATTGGGTGGAGCCACATTTTAAATGAAAATTTGTCTTTGACTATACTTAAAAGAAAAAAATCCTTGAATATATTTAGAAGTTGCTGTCTATTTTTAACTAACTCCATATGCTGCCAGTATCAACTTCATGATATTTGCCAAAATAAAATTTTATTTTTGCCTTTATAAGATTTTGTTGGAAAAAATGAAATGAATATTTTGCAAGAAAAAGTTAATTTAAATAAAAGTGTAATGGTTTGCAAAAAAAAAGAAAAAAGAAAGAAGTGATGTACAGATTAAAATATTAATGTCACCCGTGTCCTGTTTCTTGCTGGCTGTGTTTACCCCATGACCTGTATGCACTCTCCCCATGTCAGCTGTCTCCTGCTTACCGTGTTCACTGAAGACGTATTCCTCCTCCTGACAGCTCCTCGATAGTTGAGTAACTGTGGAGGCCCGAGGGCCACGGACCCCCATGTGGGACTGGTTTGAGCTGGCCAGCCCCAATCTAATCCAAGATAGCACACGGGGTACAATGGGCTCCCATCCAACCCACACACTGCCCATTCCAATTAGGCCTGTTAGTGATGGACCATTGCAAACTGGATTTGCATTTAATTCATCTTGACTTGTGATTCATGCTGAAGGCAGAAGGCTAGGGGCCAGTTTGGTTTAGGGATGTGTGTGGTTTCCAAGTTTCTGCATGGCCAAGGAGTGTGCTAGAGGTTTGGAGAAGCCTTCCAAGTATTTAAACTGGGAGAAGTGGATTCCGACGCATTCTGGATGGGCAGAGGGGAGAATGCTATGTTAACCACTGTTCGTTTTGAATTTAAAAATAAAAAAAATACTCTTCTAGTTTTAAACATTAGCTGGAAATGTCACATAACAGATTAAAGTGAGGGAGGGGACGATTCTGCAACTAAATGCAGAGTTGCCTGAAAAGACAAAAAGCCCACAGTCGATGCCCGCCGCACGGGGGAGCCATCTGTAGGTGTTTTTTCAGCAGGACTGCATATGTGGTTTGAAATTTTTGGTCTTGGTTTGTGTTTCACTGCTACAGCCCTGTGTTTGAGGGAGCGTGGCTGCTGTTCTTGTTGTTCTCTGTCAGGGAGGGAGGCATACACCGTTCTAGGAGAGTTGTGGCTTCAAGCTTAATCCGCAGGGTGAAAGAGCTTCAGCCAAGCTCAGTGCAGAGCACTCAAAAGAAAGGTCACAGGATGGCAGTGTCTGTGTAGGAGGCAATGTGGCCCGATGCTGGGCTCAGTCAGGAGAGTATTTTCTCCAGAAGCGTGAGTACCTGAGTTCAGTTGCTAGAAGGAAGCCAAGGGAAAAGCAGGCTTGGTGGCACACATCTGTAATCCCAGCCCTAGAAGGTGGAGACAAGAGGATCCCTGGAGCTCACCGGATAATCAGCCTAGCTCCAGAGAAATGCTGTCTCAAGCAGTAAGTTAGGAGCTTGAGAGATGGTTTAGTGGCCACGAACACTTGCTCTTACAGAGGACCCGATTTGCTTCCCAGAACCCTATGTGGCTCACAAACCTCTGTCACTCCAATTCCAGAGTATCTGCCACCCTTTTCTGACCTCCCTGGGCACTCAGCACACAAGCAGCGCATATATGTACACACAGGCAAAACACTCATCCACATAAGTAAACCTAAGCAATTGAGGAAGAAACTGGTCATTAGCCTCTACCTTCCACACATGCAAGCACACCTACACACATGCACATGCAAACTACCCGTGCATAGTTAAAAACTAGATGGGGCCATTTGTAGACTGACTAGGCGCATGCACTCCATGATTAAGAACTGAGTGGCCCAGCATTTCAAAATGTACATCCGTACAGGCCCAGGACCTCAGCAGAGTGCTAAGTCGCGGGGGACGAGAATGTGTCCTTGTGTCTATTCGCTAACCACCTTTCCTTTTGCCTTCATATATTATGTGTGTGAGTGTAGGTGCGCATGTTCTGTGACATGTGTGACAGGCAGAGGACAATTTATAGTCGCACTCTTATTACACGGGTCCCAGGGAATCAAACTCAGGCCATGAGACTTGGCAACAAGAGCCTTTGCCCATTACCCATCTCAGCAGCCCCGCTCACCTCTTAATTCGGACTGTAACTTGGATCCCAGGTGAGACCCAGGCTGTCTTGTCTAATCAGGTCCAGAGCCAACAAGAGAATGTTAAGATCAACTGTCGAACAGGCCCTGGGAATGAGATTCCTAATCCCCTCTTGACCTTTCAGAACTGCCTGCATTTTTTACATATTCGAGATGCCATCTAAGTAACACTTTACGTACAGTTTATGAGGTAGGTATGCCGGATTGAGGGAGGGGGCCTTGGTCACCTTTGCTCCAACCTGTTCTCCAGGGACCTGCAGGCTCCCCTGGTCAGTGTGCGTGAAGGAGGACGACAGTAATGGGTCCAGACGCTGGCCCAGCCAGCCCAGAGGCTGTTGTGGGCTCCAGGAGTTCCCCAAGATAACAGCCCAGTACTCTGTGCTAAGTCCTTTTGTGTTCTCACTAAGGGTGGGAACGAAACAGCAAATTATTTGTCTAATCCGCAAAATCACATTTCTGAGACATAGCGAGCCAGTGCTGGGAGCCCTCTGCTTCAGGTTTGCCCTCGCGGTGGGGCTGGGGCTCTGCGAGGGACTGACTTCTCAGGTTCTGAAAAGAACAAAGAGACTCGGCTAGGGGAGACATGAAAAAATGGCAGCCCCTCCCAGCGCGGTAAACATGCCGTCACTTTGCTGCCTGCACTCAAAAGGCAACCACTTTCATTGCTCCCCTAGCAAAAGAAACCTTTCTTCAGAGCGAGTGGCCGTGTACAAAGGCAGAGCACAAAACGCACGCACATCAGAGTCCCCGCAATTCTGTTTGAACAAGCATATTGATTGGGCCTGACCCTGTTACATTTTTTCCCTATTATTTGAAAAGGTGCATCTAAGTGTGGTGAATTGAATCAACGGGACTGAACTTTCCACGAGAACTTCTCGAGGTATTTCTTTAGTTCAAAGCTTTTGAAATTTAAAGGGCATTTTTAATATGAATCTGTTGAGTATTCTTTGCCGCAGCCCAACAAGGCATGTTAAATGCAGATGAAGCTGAAGGAGGAGGCTGCTAGTGTGGGTGCCGCCAGAGGCTGCCGCATATGGACCAACCCTGCCCTGTGGGAGAGCCAGGCTTTGCAGAGGGGCTAAACCCCAGGTTGGGAAACAGCATAGACCCTACAGGGGACCCTTCTGAGTGCATGAGACCAGCATAGCCACAGGCGAGCAGTTTCAGCTTTTGCATGGAGGAGGCCTGTTGTCCTGCTCAGCTGCCCACTCTCCCACATTCTTAAGGAAGCTGAGAAGGAACTAGGCAGGCAAAGTCGCTTAGCTTAGGTCCATGTTTGAGTCACCACACCTTGCCTGTATCTGCCAGCCCTAGGCAGGCCTTGTCAGCCTGTCACAGGTACTCTCCCTCTGAACTCTGAGTTCTTAATCCTTCATGGATCAGGGTCTTGGGCAGTTTACTGTTTGTGTGAGTCCTGTGTGCCATTCCAGCCCTAGTCCTCGGAACCATCTAGAAGCCTCACGCTTCTCAAACATAGTTAAGAGACTCTTGGTCCACTTAAGGCTCATGCCTTCTCTGTTAGATTAATGATAATAATAACAACTTATGTGTATTAATAATACAAATAATAAAAATAATGTATGTGTATGGTCATTTCACATGTGTGTATGTATGGACCACATATGTGTATGTATGTACTGCATGTGTGCAGTGCTGGAGGAGGCCAGAAGAGGACACTGGCTCCTCTGGAGTAGGAGTTACAAGCAGTTGTGAGCTGTCTTGTGGGTGCCGGGAGTCAGACCCAGGTCCTCTGGCAGAGCAGCCAGTGCTCTTACACTGCACTACCTCTCCAGTCCCCCTCATGGCTCCTTTTGGCCAAG